TCCGCAAGCGAAGAGACCATGAGAACCGGTAAAAGCAGTCTGCAATCTACCCTGAAGATGGAGGCGATACGTTCCTCCAAAACATCGGTTAACACCACATATACATGGTGCCAAATCCCAGAAGACTGCTTTCTTCACTGTAATGAACCTTCAGGTTCCATAAAATGCTGGTTCTTGAGTAGCTTCACAATTTGCGGCTTCTCACGAAGGCCTCAGCTCCATGAAGTTAGTTTTAGTTTAGTCAAGAGTGGTTACAAATAAAACTATTCTTCTTTTACAGGAATATACGGAGAAGCTAGAGAAGGTGTATGTGGTGAGGCAGGAGGTGAAATCTCATATTCAGAATCTCCCTGATCTCACCCAACTTCCTGATGTGACAGGAGGCTTAGCACCATTGCCATCTGCAGGAGATCTGTTCAACATGCACTGATTTCCCCAGGGTGTGTGCGTGCGTGTACAGAAACTTCCATTATTTTACATTGTTACTGCATACAGAATTCAGAAGATGTGCGTGCCTAATTATGTTTCAGTGTTATAGAGTATTTATACTAGTGTGATACATACATAGTGTATACAGGGTTCCCACCAATTTGAAGAAGTTATATAGGTACTATATATATTTCTTATGGGAAGGGAATTTGGAAAAGATATGGAAATCGTATTTTTGAGTTTTTAAAAGGCATGTATGTCCACATAGTACCTTATTTAAGCCATGATCAATTCCTTCACAATTCATTATTAACCAATCATCCTGCCATTTGACATTTTATAATCTGAGGCACAGACAAAGTTGTGAAAGAGACAGAAAAAACATAAAATAGTAGCAAGGCAGAAAATATATGATCTGGTATAAAAGGATTAAAATCACTAGAATATTGTACAGTGACTGTACAAATCATGTTAAAATAAAATTAAGTAGATAGGGTGGTTGAAAATAAGATTGGAGTGAGTCATGGAAGAGCTCCCTCTCTGGTCTTGTTTAAAGCCATGATATATGAAATTCTTAATGAAGTTAGGGGAGGAAACAGAAGACCAGACATGCAGACATGAATCCATCTTTGCAGACAGTGTGTGGATTTGGGGGAGAGATGAAATGTAAACTGAAAAAAAAAGTAAATCAATGGAACCTTGTTGTAACTCGCTGGTGTTAGAACCCAAAGCTTCAAATATCATGAATACAAAGGCCACCATAAGACATAAACCTGAGCCAGTTCAGTGTGGTTCGCTTTCTCATTCTTCTTCCCACAGGTCTATTTTAATATTATCATCTGCAGAGGGGCATGTGGTAGCATAGTTGCTTGAGGCACTATGCTACAAGCCGGAAGGTCGCAAGTTCAAGTCCCAATGAGTTCATTGAATATTTTTCAATTGACCTAATCCTTCCAGCCACACTATGGCCCTGGGGTCGACTCAGCCTCTAACAGAAATGAGTACCAGGAATATTCTTGGAATATTCTTGCAGATAAAGGGCAGCCAGCGCGTAAGGCTCACAACCTTGCCGCCATCTATGAGCCAATTGTCTAGAAAATATGGGAACCTCAACATCTCACAATCCTATGGGCCTCCACGGCCTGTTACACGGATACCTTTACTTTACTTTTACATCTCTTTGCACCCCCTGTCAAAAAAAAAGGTAAAGTAAATCTGAAAAGATGTGAGCACCATATGGAATTGGTTTTTTGATGGATTAAAAGTGTATGCCACATATTAAGAAACAAAAATTAAATTTTAAATCACTACTGAAGGAGTTAATTATTATTTACCCATGCAGAACCCAGTATTACTGTATTATTATATAAGGTATTAAACATATGTTCTTCTAACATCATTTCTCTTTATATTTTGTGCGTTCAGGTCCTAAGGTCTCCGATTTTTTTCTCACACAATAATCATACCAAAAATTTGAAACTTCTGTCACTTTTCAACGTAATTTCCCTGCAGCCGTACACATTTTTCACAACGTCAATGCCATGATTCCATGGCCGCTGCAAACGCTTCTGTAGGAGTCTGTTTTGACCACTGGAAAATTGCTGATGCAATAGCAGCACGACTGGTGAATGTACGACCACAGAGAGTGTCTTTCATCATTGGGAAAAGCCAAAAATCGCTAGGAGCCAGGTCAGGTGAGTAGGGAGCATAAGAAATCACTTCAAGGTTGTTTTCACGAAGAAACTGCTGTGTCACGTATGCCCGATGCGCTGGTGCATTGTCCTGGTGAAAGAGCACACGTGCAGCCTTTTCGGGCTGTTTTTCTTGCAGTGCTGGAAGGAGCTTGTTCTTCAAAACATCTTGGTAGGATGCACCTGTCACCATAGTGCCCTTTGGAATGCAATGACTAAGGATTACGTCATCGCTGTCCCAAAACATGGCCACCGTCATTTTTCAGCACTGGCACTTACCCAAAATTTTTTTGGTGGCGGTGAGTCTGTGTGCTTCCATCGAGCTGACTGGCGCTTCATTTCAGGATAGAAAAACAGCATCCATGTCTCATCCATTGTCACAATTGATGAAAAGAAAGTCCCATTCATGCCTTCATCACGTGTCAACATCGCCTGGCAAATTTCCATGCGCGCAGCCTTGTGGTCGTCCATCAGCAGTCATGGCACCCACCTGGAGGACACTTTCCGCATTCGCAGGTCTTCATGCAGGATTGTGTGCACAGATCCCACGGAAATGCCAACTTTGGAGGCGATGTTTTCCACACTCAATCGGCGATCCTCCAAAACAACTTTCTCAACTCGCTCGACTATGTTGTCAGACCAGCTGGTGCGAGGCCGAGATTGTTTTGGTTCGTTGTCACACGACGTTCGGCCTTCTTTGAACTGTCGCACCCATGAACGCACATTTTTCACATTCATGACACCATCACCACATGTCTCACTCAACTGGCGATGAATTTCAATGGGTGTCGCACCACGCAAGTGGAGAAAACGAATGATTACTCACTGTTCTTGTAACGAAAACGTCGCCATTTTAGGTATCAAAAACACTCCTCACTCTCGCCGCAACCACTAGAGATCTATGTGCCATACAGTGCTGATTTCTCTGTCACATATTCACAAAGAGTGCACACGTATTTTAAACTAAACCGCATGTGTCTGCTTCCAGTCCTGAGAAAAAAAATCGGAGACCTTAGAACTTGAACGCCCCTCGTACGTTCAATGGACAAAAAGTCTCTAATCTCTTCTATCTTTTCACAGTTTTTCCTTTTCAATTGCTTTTCCAGCTTTTTTCACTCTTCTTGATGACTTGTAGAGGACCACCTCTATGGTCTAGTGGTCAGAGTTCCTACCTACAGATGCAGGGGTCTCGGGCTCGATTCCCGGCGCTACCAGATTTTCTGAGAAGTAGTGGGTCTGAAATGGGGCCCACTCAGCCTCATGAGGAAATAGTGGCTCTGGTCTAGAAAACCGAAATTAACTGCCGTGGGGATCTGTTGCGCTGACCACATGACACCCTCTATCTGCAAAGTTGGCACTAACTTCACTGATAAGCAGCAGTCACTTGCGGACTACAGGCCATGGAGTTTCTTGACGTCTTATAGTACCTGAATGAACTGTCTTGTTTTGGGTTGTCCTGTAGGTCTCTTTCCCTTAAATTTTAATTCTAATGTTCTCAGTGTCTTTGTTCTATCCAGCCTTTTTAGGTGGCCATATCATTTTAATCATTTCTCTTCTAACTTTATTAACAAATTATGGATTCTAATTTCTTCTTTAAAAAATTATGCACTGTACTGCACATAGTCCATACAAGTTTTCATGAAGAAAGATGGCTGAAACAGTAATGCTTCTTGTATTTGGAAGCTGCTCAAGTTCAAATCTTGGCCAGGACACCAACTATCCTGACCGATATTTTCATGGTTCTTCTGTCCTTCCAAGCATATTCTAGAATAGTGCCTTAAGCTAGGCCATGACAGCTTTCTTCTATACCCTCTCCAATTCATTGTTCTGTATCGTCCAATCATTTGATGCTGTATACTGTGTTACAATAGTGTTATTAAATAAATATACATGTTTATCAATTGTACAGGTGATGATCGGCATTTGGAATAGTTATAAAACTGTTATGCTTGGATTTGAATGGGAACCCTGATGTATTAATGTAAGAAAAGGCAGTCAATTGTTCTCGCCTTGAACCCATGATTCCTGTAATCAAAACACAAATGCAAATGCATGTGAAGTTATAGAACATTTCCAAACCATAGAATACGCATGATTTTTTCTGTGTATTGACTGTGTGAAGAGTTTGTGCAAATAACAAAGGTCAATGAATTATGCGATTTTTTTCATATTCGTGTATATCTGTAAAAGAGTATGTATTGTTTTATTGATATGTTACTGTAAATTCACCAGTTTCATTATATATAATTTGTGGATAAATCCACAATAATTTGTTTATAGTTCGACATTTCTGTCTGAATTATGATAATGTATGAATCTGTTTCAACCACTAAATTGGAAAACTTATTTTAGTAGGATAATGTCATGTAGATGAAAGATACATGTGTGTGCGTGTGTATTATATAGAGTGTATGATAGTATGCATCAGAACTGATCATTGCACACGAGACTGAGTGGTATGGTGCAAGAGTATCATTACCGAAACCATTTAATTTTTAATATATGAATACTTATTACATGTTAAATGAATTATTATGTCTAGAATATGACAAAATAAAGTTGAGCATAAAATTTCTGTAGCTTCAGAAATATTTTCATTTACATTTTAGTTCATCTGTACTAATAGTTGCAGTCAACTGTAGAATTCCATTTCTAGAACAGTAATGCTTCAAGCTGTTATCTGTAATATTTTTACTGTAGTTCTTATGAATTATAGAATAAAAACAGCTTAGTACAAGAAGTCCTTTAAGTGATGTATTCTGGAGTCCTGTAGTCACCTCACATTAAGTTGTATTCAGGTGTATTTAAATTAAACACAAACCTCAGTTCAGATAGTGAGACTTAGACCTCTTTCTCCTCAAGGAACACCACTTCCAGCAAGGAAGGCAATGCCAGAATTTGAGTAAAATTTGAAAATGTCGGAGTTGAGGTTTTCACAGTTGTGACTGTGAATAGTAAAGCTTTATGGACTGGCATGCTGTGTAGCATGGAGAGAGCCAAATATTTTGTAGGAACATACCACCTACATCTTCAGGGTCAAAAAGTAAGCAAAGCAAGAAACCAGCAGAAGCAGACATGAAGCTCAGCTTGAGATTAGGTGTGACACAGGAACTACAGTGTCTCATGAGAATGGAGATAAATATATTTTACCTTTGTATCTGCAATAAAGGAACTAAGGGCCCACAAATACATATTTGGGAGGAATGAAATCTTCTTGGACAGTCAGCAAACTGAAACTGTGTATTTCAGAGACTGTCTGTAACTCCAGTCCAGAACCTTTTGTCTTCTCGTCTGCTGTCCAAAAACAAAAATTACAATATACAAAACTATAATTTTGCCTGTGTTTATGTATAGGTGTGAAACTTGGTCTCTGACATTAAGGGAGGAACATAGACTGAGGGTGTTGAGAATATTTGGACCAAAGAGAGATGAAGTGACAGGAGGTTGGAGAAAACTGCACAGTGAGGAGCTTCATAACTTCAACTCTTCTCCAAGTATAATTGGAATGATCAAGTCAAGGAGGATTGAGGTGGGCAGGGCATGTAGCATGAATGGCGGTGAAAAGGAATGCGTATAGGATATTGGTGGGAAAGCCAGAAGGAAAGAGACCACTGGGAAGACCAAGGCGTAGGTGGGTGGACAATATTAAAATGGATCTTAGAGAGATAGGATGGGGTGGTGTGGATTGGATTGATCTGGCTCGGGATAGGGACCGGTGGAGGGCTCTTGTGAGCACGGTAATGAACCTTCGGGTTCCATAAAATGCTGGGAAATTCTTGAGTAGCTGAAAAATAGGCAGCTCCTCCAAAAGGGCTCAGCTCCATAATTAAGTCTGTAACTCCAACATCAGCATGCTCGTTTAATGATTCAGATATTCTCAGCATGGTTCATAAAGAACAAGTTCAATGCTGGGCTAGGTCAGCTACAAGATAGGTGGCCAAGTCACCATCATATCCAGGCTAAGTAATATACAACTAGGTAATTTTTTGAATGGGTGACCATGCAACACTAAATGATTTTCCTGGGGAGGGAAGCGCAGCCGGCGCGTGAGGCTGACAACCTTACCGCCATCTCTGAGCTGACTGTCAAGGTAATGTGGGACCCTTAACATCTCACAACCCTATGGGCCTTCACAGCCTGATACAGGGATAGCTTTACTTACTTTTTACCATGCAACACTCCACTAGTCACCATGATTTTAAACATACCTGGAGACTGTTATATCTTTCCATTTTTGTTCTTTTAAAAAGAAATGTCTCATAGTTTTGCAGGTTACCATAATGCTAAAACACATCATTTTCTCAAGAATTTGTATTTTTCCTGAAAAGTATGCCGTTATATTGTGATTCTTACTGGGTGGAACAGACAGATTGTATCTTATTGTACTCAAAAATGAGAAGTGATTTTGGATTTGTGAATCAAAACTATAATTATAAATCATAATTTGCTATACAATATGATCACATAAAAGTGAAATAACATACCATTTCAGACATTCTAACTCCTTTCATGAATTTTTATTTCAACTCATTAAAAAATGAATATCACATTTACTGGAGGTACATATCAAATCTGTGCCGCAATGAAAACACTAGAAGTCACGTGAACGTTTCCAGCACTGCCCATGATCCCTCTCACAGTGAGTTGTGGTTGTACGTTGGGCACTGTTCTCTGAACTATTTACCCTCCTTTATTGACCTTACTTACATATGCATAATCAAATGAAACTCACCTAGAGACTGTTTCAGGCATGCAGGAGAGACCATTAAAAATACTGTTTGTCAGACAAGAGAACAGCTGTCATTCAACTAGAGGCATGTCACTTGCTACTGGTTTGGAATGGGAATAGTGTAGTGCCTTAGCTCACATAGAGATCTCTACCTGCTGTCTCTTACTGGTGATCCACTTCCTTACATGCTGACTTCTAAATCATACTTTGGAGCAAATCACAAATCTTACAACAATACTTTCTGATGTTAAATACATCTGAAATTCTGTGAAATAATGTGTTTAGTCAAAACAATAAGATGTGAGTGATAAGATATAAATCCACTATATTAGTCCACAAAACAAGATCATGGTGAATGAACCATTATATCTGCTGTGTGAAAAATGCCATTCCTTAACTCAAGAATATGAAATAATGGTCATATAAGAATAATATCTGGTGCAGGGGAATACCACTGTCAAAAGTTAGGTTAAGTTAGATTTAAATATAAATCATTTGTGATTTGATATGCTGAGTCATACATAAAGAGTGCAGCTGAATCAACTACAAATCCATTGATCAACAAACCCTCAAATATTTCACCAACTTATATTTACTGATATTTTTTCTAATGCTTTTTTAAGGATTTACATTTTTAAGAGTTCCTATTTCTTTCTTCTTTGTTCTATCATGAAATGTGATTCTGCTCTGATTTTTCTATATTCATTAACTTCTACCTAACTCCTTATTTGTTGTAAATATACTGAATAAAAATTACTCTTTCTCTAAAAATAATAGATGTTGTAATTTTGATTTAGGGAAAATTGTAAATGAATTAAGTTTGCTGTCAAATGTTTGCTTTCCGAATTCCTTACCGATCAGTCATTCACCAACATAGAAAAGAAATTTCAACATCATCCACACTGAGACTTCAACTGACAGAAGCTGTATTTTAAGAATCACAAAAAAAAAGTGCATAGTTTGAGAGTATCTAAAACTCTTTTACACTCTTAATCCATATTATTTTCCTCGTAAGAACTTCCTAGGATATCCAGTAAAAGAAACAAAAGAATTGAACCAGGCAGGTTGATGTGAGAGTAAGGCTACTGGTGCACTGACTGAATCAAGTGTGGCTCACCAAAATGCTTTAAAGGCAGACCCTCAGCTTCACTTGGCTTGATCCCTGTAATGTGTAGGGGTACATGGGAATCATATGCAGAACAAATGGGTATGCCTTTGTGGCATCTTAGTGTTCCTGACTGAATGTGACTAGACTGGATTTGATGTGGTTAATGTGCCAGCAGCCCAACACTTTCAATTTGTTTTCAGCAGGTACTCTTGACTAAGTTACCATGTATTCCAATTGAGCTTTCCAGAAGTAAACCAAGACAATACATTCAAACAGGCTAAGACCAACTTCTTCCAAATCTTTATCTGCTACTTTCTACATAAATAAATATTAAAATAATGTACTTAATCTATTATTTACAACCATAACATAAGGATGAAAACATAGCTTATGTAATGGTTTGTTTTCTAATACATAGTGAGAAAGATTCAATTTGGGTGCAGTCACTTCAGCCATAGTGAGACACAGATGAGGATGGTCCAACTTTACCAAATTATGCTACTAGCTGGAAGGTCGCGGGTTCAAGTCCCAATGAGGTCACTGGATTTTTTCAATTGACCTAATCCGCCCAGCTGCACTATGGCTATGGGGTCAACTCAGCCTCTAACAGAAATGAGTACCAGGAATTAATTAAATAATTTTCCTGGGGAGTAAAGCACGGGTGGTTCGTAAAGCTGACAAACTTACTGCCATCTTTGAGCCGATTGTCTAGAAAATGTGGGACCCTCAACATCTGACAACCGTATGGGCCTTCACAGCCTGTTACAGGGATAGCTTTACTTTTTTTTATTATCATAACAGGCATCTATTTGAAATGGTTCTGTTGGTAGTGTATTACACTAAGCACAAATGTTCTGAACTTTACTTGTCATCCAATATTCTAAAACAGAACACAATATTCGGGAGGTATATCTGCTCCCATCCTCAGGTGAGGAGTACTTACTCAACTACTTTCGATCACTGGACCTCCATTGATCTAAGAGATGGACCCACCTTAGTAGGTGCTCTTCACCTGAGGATGGGAAATGTGTTTTGTTTCAGAATATGAGACACTAGATAAAATCTGGAAATAAGTAATACTAAATAAGCACATTATTCACTGAAATGAGAAGCTAGGAGCTCCTCCACACCATTCTCCAATGAATGTGAGGACATCAGGTATGTGGCTTTCAGGGGCCATCTTAGCTGCCATCATGAGCTTGTTCCAGTCATCTCTGTTGGCCTGCTTCCCTGGGCGTTTGAACTCAACAGGGTTACGTCCCCTGTGAGATTGCACAGGGAAACCAGAAACGACACATGCTATGGCAGGAGGGCCTGATCTGTTGGGTGAAGTCAGAGCTGAGGGTGTCAGACCACGTTCATCCAGTGGTAGAACCTGAGGACAATACAAACTTAAAACTCTATATNTTCTGTCAACAAATTGTAAGTTTCAGTGGCAGATTTTCCAAGTTTTGTGAGGAATTTGATGTTAGCACGTTGTTCTGCATTAGCACTCAGCATTATTCCGACGGAGCTCAGAAACACGATCCGCTTCTAACAATGGTCGCGGCCAGACTAACCGATGCACGTGAATGAAACTTTGTGTGACGGTAGAGGGAAGTCCAAGGGTCAATGCCCTACCCTCCTCTTCGTCAATGACGTGGCCGGAAATGAGTCATAAAAGTAATCCGGGTTCTTTATTGCCACACCTTGTATAATAAACTCTGCATATAAAGAAGTTCTGAGTTCTCAGTGATATACAACAGATGGTAAAGTTGTCCCTGTGCTTAATTAAGCATCACATTATGAAGCCATATGGGGGAGTGGAGGTATAGCTCCAGATATTAAATGGAAGTCAGCGGTCACCTTCACATCCTGGCTACTTTATTCCTGGGGAAAGATCCCATGGTACCCATTGGATAGGAGACTGGGTGGGTCCCAGAGCCAATCTAACAACTGTGATGAAAATAAATGCCTCTTGTCCTGCCAAGAATCAAACCCCAATTAATTTGTTGTTCAACCTTACTTAGTCACTATACTGACTGAGCTATAGTACAACCAACTTCATGGTCCTGAAAATGCTGACAGTTATTCAACTGATGAAGAAAAACCATTCTCTTACAGGACCTGAAAGCATATTTCTGTATTCACTTCTGATCCCTACCCAAGATAAATTAAATTTCCATCTTCATATTGTCATATGTATGAGTGACTGTTAGAGGACCTGGGACAGTGTAGTCAGGATAGCAACTGGCTGCAGGCTGGATGACCAAGGGGTCGGAGTTCAAATCCTGGTAGGGTCAAGAAGTTTCTCTTCTCCACATCGTCCAGACCAACTCTTGGGTCCACCCAACCTCCTATTCAACAGGTACTGGGGGCTCTTTCCCTGGGGGCAAAGCAGGTGGGGCATGAAGTTGACCACTCACCTCCAGCTAGTGACAAGGTCAAGAAAATGTGGCTCTATACATCCACTCCCTCGTATGCCTTCATGGAGTAGTCCTTAATTAGTTACGCACAGGTACAGCTTTACCTTACCTTTATGAGTCGGTGTTTCCTGTGGGGTCTGTGCTGATTGTTGCGCATGCAACAATGGATACAGCAACAGAGGAATGACGTTTTCTATGTAGTCTGTGCCAAGGGGTTATAAACAGGACAAGTTTAGTGTTTGGAGTTAGTTGTGGGATATTTGCCGGCCAGTAAGGACGTTAGCACAGAACACTGTTAAGATCTGTTGCCAGAAAACGAATAGTTAAGACATAGAAGACTTTATGTGTGCTGCAGTTACAGTAAGTTTTAGGGTGTCTAAACCAGTGAGGCTGTGATATTTACTTGTAGTTATGAGTTGCATGTGTAAGTGTTTAATAAATCCATTCACAAAGCCAAATAAAGAAAGGAACAGAACCAATTTATGAAATGCAGCAGCTTTGGTGAAGAAAACTTTATGGAAAGAGACCACTAGGAAGACTCAGATGTAGATGGTAGGATAATATTGCGATGGTTCTTAGAGAAATAAGATGAGCAGATGTGGACTGGATTCATCTGGCTCAGTATAGGGATCAGCGGTATACTCTTGTGAGCATGGCAATGAACATTCAGAATCCATAAAATGCTGTGAATTTCTTGAGTAGCTACACAACCACTGGCTTCTCAGGATGGATCCAGCTCCACAGAGTTAGTTGGTTTGTCAGTTAATTAGTCAATTAGTTAGTTAGGTAGTCAATTTTAATGCACTCAGATGATGGACAAAATCCAAAATAATAGTTTTAAATACCATGTCACAAAATTTTCAAAAGACTTCAAACTCAGTTTGTCCTTGCACTCACCTGATCAACCTTCTGGTCCATGGAAATGGCTAGCACCCATTCTTTCACCTCCTCATGTTCCTGAGGTGAGAGATGGAGGGATGCTGGCAATGGAATTTCCATGGGAAAATCAGTGTTTGTAAAGTCACTATAATCAAGCAAGTCTACATTTCCTTCCTCAATTGCTTCACACAGGTCTAGGTAGTGGTTCAGGAATACAAATGCTTCACTCTCCTGTCCAACAGCCTGCACACACCAGACAATCAAGTGACAATACTGCTGGACCAAACACTGAAAGATATTTAACTTATTGCTGGTTTGAAGGCATAGTAAACACTCTGATGAAATGTATGAAAAGAAATTATTGACATTTACAACATCTATTATAAAAATTACAAAATACCACAATCATAAAACAAGAAACAAATGAAGCACACACATGAACATGTCACAGAAACAATGAAGGAATGAAGATTATGGTCTTCTGTAATGTGATTCCATGTAGTCTGATAAACTACCACCAATGTTTTGCAAAAACCTGATGCCTCCAGTTTCAGGACATAAGAAAACTCTAATACTGAGCAAATGGATGCAGAATCCTCTGAAACATATTCAAAACTATACAATGTCACATCCCTAGAGACCATAATCTTGATAGTCACCACCATAAGAACCTCAAACCTCTCATTAAACAAATGAACAGACAAATTTATTCTGAAGCTGAACTCTGACAAGCACTTTCACTTTAACATAGCTTATGTGTTCTTATATATGATTTGTAGTTTTTATGTAAACAGATCATAAGATAATAGACTACAAACATTTGCAAATTTATATAAATCCAGAGGACAAAAGATGTAGAGTGAGCCCGAAGTAGATGGCAAGATTAGTTTTAAAACTTTTGATATTGCAGCTTGCTTCTTGCTTACTTGTTATACTCTTTGATCCTCAAGATGGTGGTAGTATGTTCATCTAAAACAATGACTAAAACAATGAACTTCTGACTACACATCATTACCCAGAAGAGAGTATGTACTCTTTCATAATAAACTAAATAACAATAACAAAGTTCCCCAATATTATGTTTCTGGACATTATCGTCCTCCTGCTTTTATCTAAAACACCGTCCTGTTCATATTTAAAAACACAACATTTCAGAGATTGGATTCTGTCTTTGTCTTCAGGTAAAACATACTCAATAAAGCGAATCCCTATCTCCAGACACCTGTGCCAGCACCAAGATAGTGTATACAAGCCTAGCACAGTATAAACCATCTGCGAGAGCTAAGACAAAACAATAAAATATTAAAAACTTTACATGTATGAGGCCTACACCAGAGAACTGTCAAGACAGAAATCATCACTGGAGATCTTAAATACAATACTCACTCTGCAGTCAACACCAGCTTCATAAAATGCTTTATCTGCGGGGATAATATCTGTGTGCCTGAGCAGAGAGGTGGACAGTTTGGCCACCAGGTGATCCAGTGTCTTAACTTCCCTGCAGGCAGTTCGGGTTGCATGATAGTGACTAATCACCAACAGAGTGTCAAACTCATCATGTATAGCACTACCAGCATCAGACGAAGTCTTCATTGCTTCTGTCTACATCATGAAGGCATTTAAATGATAATTACATATTCATCAAGAAAACTTTTAATATACTATTATATATATATATTTCTAGACTACATGATACCAGGCAGATATTATTCTGTTCCTGTGTCCCACATGTCATTCTCATCAGTCAATTTCTGGTACTAACATTACAATCATCATTGCTAGGTACACTTTGGAACAAATTAGGAAAGAAATATTAGTTGTATCTGCCTTCCCATCTCCTAGCTACAGACACAAAGATTAAAATACATAGAGCTGCTAATTTACTTGTTATTTTGTATAGGTATGAAACTTACATTAAGAGAAGAATATTGGTGATTGATGTTTAAGAGGAGGGTGCTGATGTAAATGCTTGAACATAAAGAGGGTGGAAGTAACATGAGATTCAAGAAATCTGCATAATAAGGACCTTCACAATTCATATTATTCAACAAATACTATTGTGATGATCACCTCAAAGAGGATGAGGTGGGTGGAGTATCTAGTATGCATGGGAGAGATCAGAAATTCATAGAAAATTTTGGTTAGAAAATCTGAGGAAAAGAGACAACTTGGAAGACTTAAATCTAGATCAGAGGCTAATATTAAATTGGATATTAAACAAACAGGGTGTGAGGGTGCAGACTGGATTCATCTAGTTTAAGCTAAGGGCTCTTGTGAAGAGAGCAATCAACATTTGGTTTCCATAAAATGTTGGGAATTTCATGACTAGCTGAGCAATTATCAGCTTCTCAACAAAGGTTCTGCTCAACAGAGTTAGTCAGTTTTACCGAGTGTGTCTCTAAGTAACAGCTGCAGAACTATTTTCAATAAATCTCATTATGGTAAACTTACACTAAATTCTGTCCAAAAAATTTTGATTTTCAATTGATTCATTTTAAGAACCTCTTTAATTAAGACAATAAATTAACTTATACATCTAACTTTTGAGTCCTCTGATAGATTTTCATGAAACCTGATATACAGAATTTCTATTATATGAGTATTATCATCTCTAGTTCATTTTAAGGTCTCTTTTACTTAGAGACCACATAATCTTTTCGTGTTGCTTGCTAAGTACTTAATTTAAGAACAATGTCTTCAATAAGAGATACAGGTATCCATAAAATACATACCTTATGGTTTATACAGTCGAATACTAAAAATTGGAGGGAAACTTTAAATTCTAATTTTATTTCAACTTTCAATATAAATACAACTCAACTATTCTTTAATGAAAGCGAAATGAAACTGGCGAATTTTTTTACAGAAAAAACTAAACAAACTGTCCTTACCAGACTCAGCAACATGTTCCGAAGTTGTGACCAGCTGCTGTACGCTTCAGGCCTGTTTAGGCCAGACATATTGAATAAGTCCACAGCAATGCGCTTGTAGATGTTATAGTTCTGAGGATATGCAGGTGTGTCATACTTTGTATACAGTGCCAAAGCCTCCAGCACACGACCATCCTACATTGAAAAAGCAGCAGGATGCTCTATCAGTAATAAGGTCCTATTGAGCAATGTCAATATTGTAACGGATTTGATGTACACACTGCCAGGCAACAGCTCTGTAAACATGATCCAAAATGCAACAATGCAGGAAGCTGTGTCTTTTGTAGATCTGACCAACATATCAATAAGCTGGCTAGATATTTATCACATGATACAATGTTTACTGTAGGTCCATGTCCGTTCCGCGGCTATATAATGAGAGCTGTGAGCTGCAAGTTCAGAGCGAATTAAAACTAGGAGTAAGGAAGAGTATAAGAGATCAGCCTGTGAAGATTTAACACGTGATCTGAAGACTTTATATGTGCTGTAACACAGTAATATTGGGAGTGTGTGATTTGGTGAGACTTATAGTTCCTGTGTTATAAACCCGTGAAGACTATTGCAGATAGGCTGAGAAGATTAGTGTGGAGTGATTGTAATTGTGTAAATCAGCAATAGTGTTATAATTATTTGTAGTTACAACCTGTAAGTACCAAATAAATCCAATTACCAATCCAAACCCCCATCTTTAGTCAATCCATACATGTGACAATATAATAAACAAATAATTACTGATTGAAAACCCTTTATTTCTTCTTAGAATTCTGACCATCTGTTTATACTTGGGTCAGAGAAAGAATGAACATGGCTGGTATGGGTTCAAGTCTGCCATTTTCTCCCGCACCCTACCTACACTACTCATCTCTACTCTCTCAATACTGTCACGTTTTAGGGGCATGACTATAAATGGGATATTGATTGGCTATTGGATTTATTGACCACTTACACACACCACTTGGAACTACAAGTAATTACAGCGGCAACACTAATCTTCACAATTTACAGTTCACTAGGACATGCTAAATCTTCTCATTCTTCACCAGTCGTATCCTGGCAATGGATTTATAACAGTCTCACCCTAACCTCAGCGCACATAAAGACTTCTTTTCACAGTGGCACTCTTGTAACTCTTTTCTTCTTCACAACTGAATTATCAACCCTCGACTAACTGAATCACCCCCTACCCAGTTGTCTTCCTTATAACCACTTTGCACAGGTCAAACAGAAAACAACATTTCCAACAATTCCTCTATTGCTGTTATAGGCGGTTACCTAGCAACAGCCCAGATACTGTTGATGTGTTTACGGGCCGTTACTAAGCAACAGCGGGTGTTCAGAGAGAAGACATATAAAAATGAGGCAGCTGCTAGGAAGATAGGTGGAGGAGGTGGCTACAGTGGTACAGATATAAAAAGTAAAGTAAAAGTAAAGGTATCCCTGTAACAGGCCATGGAGGCCCATAGGGTTTTGAGACGTTGAGTCTCCCACATTTTCTAGACAATCAGCTCACAGATGGCAGCTAGGTTGTCAGCCCTACGTGCCGGCCACCCTTTGCCCCCAAGAATATTCCAAGAATATTCCTGGTACTCATTTCTGTTAGAGGTTGAGTCAACCCCAGGGCTGGAAGGATTAGGTCAATTGAAAAAAATCCAATGACCTCATCAGGACTTGAACCCGTGGCCTTCCGGTTTGTAGAATAGTGCCTCAACCAACTACACTACCATGTGCCCCCCACAGATAAATATACACATAGATGTAGACAGACATATACAGACAGACAGACAGTTATTTAGCCACTCAAGTAATCTGTCTGTTTCTTAATCACTTGGTTAACTGGAGCCTAGCCTTACCCTGATAAGTTGCGTGGCTTGTAATGCTACATATTTATGAAGCACCTGAGGCCCATTCTGTTTAGCTGTTTCCAGGCATTTGACCCACTGACCCTGCTCTGCCAGAAGATCCAGAGCTCCGATAATATCCACATCTGCCAACTGTTCAGCTCGGCCTTGCCTCCTCAACCAGTCCTTGTATCGGTCATCAACATAGTCTTCATAACTAAGCAATTATAACAGGAAATGAATGAACCAATTAATCCAAATTAATACTAGACTCATCAATAGCTGCCCAGCCTCTGCTGGTGCCAAAAGACTACCAGAAACCCACAAGACCCCTCTAGAAAGATTTCACCTATGTAAAAGTTGTTGTAAGGTTTAAAGTGTAGTAAACTGGTTATAATTTTTATTTTAAACAAATTTCAATATAACAAATGCTTATCATTAAAGGAAAGTTGCCTCCATGTGCAGAACACCTTAGGACTTAACTTCCTGCACCTCTCTTGTGGTTTTACCTCCCATCCCAGGCATTTTTTGGAGTATACTAACAGTCTGCAGAATGTCACTGTAAATAAATTATTATTATTTATTTAAACTGCAAATGGGTTTTTGCCTGGTGGCAGTGGTACTACAATAAGATACATCACACAAATATAACACACCACACTCAAACAAAACACAGCACACAAAACTACACAAACAACAAAGGACACACTAGCACACAGTAAATACAATGAAAATACACTTACAACTACAATTATATAAATGAATATTAATAACTAAATAAATACAGGGTGAATCATATAGAACCGGCCCAATGAATTTGTTAGTAATTCCGCAGGTGATGCATATAACTGCTCACAATTACGACATAATAATCTGTGCGCAGTGCTGAGTCGAATGGTGTGCGCATGATCCGGCAAGTGACAGCCCTTATGCTGCAAGGTCAAGGACAATCCTGAAACGTGTCTGCAGTGCGCAGGCAACAGTCATGGAGTACACTGTTGAACAGCGAGTGTTTCTAGTGCCTACTTGAAAACGGCAGACACTTTCAACACCTGCTCTGATCATGGCACACAATCCAAGATAAGATATGTGTAAATTACTTTAATATCTGTATGGTATATTTTATATTACAGCTCATTTCGTCAGGCCGGTTCTATATGAATCACCTGTATAAATAATTAAATAGTAAGAAATCTACATATGTTCAAGGAATCACAAAAGTTAAATACATACACAATCTAACATCAGAGGTAAGCATTAAGTGCACAAAGTGTGTTCTAAAGGAGAAAATTTTGCTTCTCACTGCATGATACTATATGACATTAGCTGGATATGGCAGTCTCAACTAAGCATTAGTAAATGCAAACCTCAAGCAGTGAAGCAAAAATGTTAAGTAATCACCATGCATTCCAGACAGGAGTAAGCTTTTCCTGTCAGTCTGTTACAATCAGAACTTCCCTACCTTGGTTCTAGCTCCTTTGCCACTCTTTTAGCCTTGTTCCACTCCTCGGAGTGGATGAATGTGTCAATAGCCTCTTTAATCATATCTACTCCTAGGTACAATTGAGCGGCCAGGTTGTTCTGCTGTATGCTCAATAAACGTGGTCCTGTACATCATGTAAGGTTAATGAATACTCATACATACATCCTCACTGCTATCATGTATCTTAGCCAAGCATTAAGATTATTATATCCTGAAAGTTGAATCACAAAGCTTTATGGTAAAAAATGCTGACATATAAGAACCTGTTTAAATATTAATTATTTCTTGTTTTTAAGAAATAATCAGTCACATAAGATGGAGATGCATGAAACTAAGAGAAAGTGAGAGAGAATCCTTAAAGATGTGTTGTAAATTAAAAGTCTATGTATCAAGTCCATCAATAATACAACAATCATTAACATATTCACCATTTAACACTAACACAACATGTTTCGGCCACAGACAGCCATCCTCAGGTGTTTCAATGCGTCAAAACTGCTACACTGCTTTGATGCGTGCTAAAATTCCACGATGCAGTCCATTTAAAATACCATAAATAATTACTTAAAATTCATTACATTTTTTTTTACATTTTTCATTAAGTAATTATTTATGGTATTTTAAGTGGACTGTAANAAACGTCGTGTTTTTATTTGTTATCTTAAAAACCAGGACGATGGATAAAGTCCAAAATCCCAACATATCAGTGTGATACACAGACGTTTAACTAAAGATGTGCAACAGGATGTTGAAATATAAAATGTGTTGTAAAATTTGAAAGAATTATATAATTTTAGGATTTCAGGTTCGCATGTCAATGACTATGAAGATAATGGCCTTTTGGATTGTAATGTCATGTAGTTTGGAGACAGCCCTGTTTCATAGGAATATATCGTCTCCCTCTTCAGGGCTGAACAGCAAAATACCAGCAGAAGCAGGCACCAAGGTCAGCACAGCTTGCTTGTGCATGCGCACATGTACAGACACACACACACATTACATTTTAGGGATGAAGAATATGTTATGCAAGCAGCAAACAGCATGCTTGCTTACTCAGCTTCTGAAATCTTGGTAAATTTCTATCAAACTGTAAGTACATGGCATCATATCCCAGAAGACAGCTGTCATCATAGTCACTGCTGTGAGAATATCAAATCCCTGACACAAAGACACATTCTTAACACAGTGATCGTTTATTCATTTTAAATATGAAATATATCTCAATAAAGTGCTTGTGGGACACTTGTACTTAATTATAAAAACACTTACGTGTCAAGGAAAGTCATATTGTTATAACTAGGAGTTCTTTACAGATGGTACCTGCCAGTACTGGCAAAATCCAAGCATGAGAGTAACAGCAAATAAGATTTGAAAAAAATGCTGATTATAACCAAGTGTTATTTAGTATTGGTCCAGATATAGGACAAGCATACGTAATACTATACTTCTATACAGTTAATCTTGACGTTAACTACACCTGAAGGTCAACAAACATATCCTGTTGCTGGCTAAAGTACCTATTCAGTTTAATTCAGTTTACAAAATTGAAAGGATGCGGTATTTTTTTTCTACATTTACTGTCATGGAACTGCAGCATTTCATGTTTTCCAAACAATACATTGTTATTTATAGATAAAATACCAGTGAACAGATCCATCCTTTTGCATTACTATAACTTACAGTATACTGTCACATAGCAGAACTCAAGCAGACAGAAGAGGAGCAGAAGGATCTTATATCACAGACTACCAAATAAAGTCAGGGATATTTCTGGAGTTTTGTTTACAATTTTGTTAGTATCTAGACTATATCAGAATGTAAGGGCCGCTCCATAGCTCAAGCGGTTAGTCGCTGGCTTCCCACTACAGCAGCCCGGGTTCGATCCCAGGTCTGGTCAAGTGGGATTTGTGGTGGACAAAGTGGCGCTGGGGCAGGTTTTCTCCGAGTATTTCGGTTTCCCCTGCCAATCTTCATTCCACCAATTGCTCCACAATCACCCTCACCTATCATCTGGGGCTGGTACAATAGGCCAGAAGTGGCCGCAGCACAAGGGACTTAGTCCCACCTCACTAGCAATAAAAGAAAAATGTCAGAATGTAAGATAACAGATGAATGATGAATCGGGGAGAATTTGGAAAAAAAGCAGTTCTGGCCTAATCAACATACCATCCGGCATTTCCCTAGATAGACTGAGGAAAACTGCGAAAAACCTCTGTCAGGATAACCAGTATTGTAGAGAAGATGTGAACCAAACACTGGCCAAATACAAGTCTAGAATGTAGGACATGAAGTTCTGACAGCAGCGCTTGTAGACAGTACTATCGTCTGGGATATAATGCCATGTATTCACTCCACTTACCACCTACTTTCATGCTCGATATCTTGCTCAGCTTACTTTTTGACCCCAAAGACGGAGGTGACATGTTTCTCTCAAATGTCAGTTGACTTTCAACAGACTACACAGTGTTATATCCCAGAGGATAGTACTCGTCACAAGTCTAGAACATTACCACTATGCTAACCAGATTCCTTTATTTAGTCCTGATCCAGGAAACTGACAACAGAATAAACCAATTACTGTGCCTCTATCTTCATTGAGCTTGATCTAGTTATAACAGTCATGTTCTCATAGCTGAGCATCACAGCCTGAGGCCTGCCTAAGTTCTACTTACCTAACACTTTGGCCACTTCCACAGCCTGCTGGCCTTCAAAGTATTTTGTTGTCAGTTCAACTGCCTTAGTCCAGGCTTTGATAACGACACTTCGGTCTTTGGTGGCACTTGTGTTTACCTGAAACAGGTTGTTACAAGATTGGCTCTTTAACGTTAGCTTCACATCCGACATTGTATTCATTACATCTGACTACAAGCTAGGCAATAATCATAAATAAAACCATTTGTACCAACAAAATGACAGGCTAACATGTGCAGAGTCAGTGTTTTCTTACACAGCTGAAACTCCCCAACTGAGTTATCACTTTGTACTTACTCACTTACTTATTCATGGAGCTGAGCCCTTCTGGAGGAGCCACCAATTCTGCAGCTACTCAAGAATTTCCCAGCATTTTATGGAACCTGAAGGTTCATTACCGTGTTCACAAGAGCTCTCCTCTGGTCCCTATCCTGAGCCAGATCAATCCAATCAATACAATCCCATTCCATCTCTCTAAGATCCATTTTAATATTGTTCACCCACCTACGTCTTGGTCTTCCCATTTCACATTGTACTACAAAACCAAAACATTTCTAGAATTTTGACATATTTTGGCATGAATTTAGTCTAAGATTATTACAGATTATACAAAAATTGTGTCTTAAGCAATGACATCATAGCAGTTATTGACTGTACAAGTATGGTACAGGACACCCTTGTCCAATACAAATTTGCTTATACAAGCAAAAACAAATGCAGATAATTATATGCTGAACATGGAAAATTTTAAGACAGACAGACTAGCCTCAGCTACAGACCTGAAACATTGCAATTCAGTAATTCTAAAGCTGAGATAATGTTACTAGTTTCTAATGCCACAATTATGGACCTATGGACCAAGGAGTTGTTAAGATAGCTTGGCCTTATGAAATTTCTATAGGTGTGCAGTCCAAACTATAGATAAATTAAAGCAGTATAGAAAGGAAGGGGACCATTCATTTGTGTGTACAAAATTTACATATCCAAATATTAATGGGAGACTTTATGTTGCCACATTCACGCATCCTTGTTTAACCCATGAGGTGTTAAGTCTGTCCAACACAGATTTACCTAACATGCCATTCTCAAGGAACATAACCCCCATATTAGACAAGGGTGTACTGTATGCCTGAAACAATACTGCAGCTACAGAATAAAATGTCTTTTCAGAAAATAAAGTCTATCTTTAACAAAACCTTCAAACTTATTCATTCCCTGGCCCTACTCTCCTCTAAGAATAATGGCTGCTTTTATGAGCAGTATTTGTTCTTCTCTATTATTACTTGCCTTTTGCCTCATTTATTCACTTTCAATACTCTTAAATGATTCTCTACGTATTTCAGCCATCTTACTTTGGGCCTAAACTTAGCATATTCCAAGGTAACAAGATATACCTCATTATCCTTACACCTTTCATTATCCATTTCCCTAAGTTGTCCACCTGATATCAATCACTATGTCTCATAATATATATTGTTTTATGAGCTGAGGTTGTTAGCCTCATGCCCAACCCCCAAATTGAATGATCAAAGGACTACCTTTCAACTTTTCCTGCATGGGTGACCCTACAAGATTATGACACCTGAACCTCCAAAGCAGTAGCTTAAAATACAGTCAAGAGATGTTACAACCTACTGCTCTCTTCAGTACGTGCCATAGAGAGGCGCAAAACGTTTCTAAATGACGGTTAATAGCCAGTAAAAAGATGCATCATCTAAGATTCAAGAATCTGTTTTGTAACCATCAAAGGTTTAATATATGAACCATGGGTTGACAGGCACAAAGACCTATCTGTGTGTAAAACCTGGTAGTATTACCTTTAGAAGGCAGTCAACTGCTGTTTTATACTCTCCACTCTGTTCCCATTCTCTGGCCTGAGCCAGCAGACTATCAGCATCCTTGGAACCCTTTGATCCAATCTCACGGTCATATTCAGCTTGCAGTGCTGGCAGCCGACTGGGCAGGTACTCACGACACACCCTAAGCGCATCCACCCACATTCCTGCATCCTAATGGACACAATGAAAAAGAAAGAGTTACCTTGTTGTATGGTCTTTGCATGAAATTAACATTAGGACACAGTGTCTGCCTGCATGTTTAATGTTCAGAATTACTTAATGCATTTCAAGCAAATTCCAAGATGTTCACAGCAGTGACTGTTCAGATTGTAGCCTTCTGGTGTGTGATACCAAGAGGTCTTGTGCGCCGATGACATTCCAAAGGCACAAGTTGCCTCCCCTCATGTGGGTCTGGGTGACTGCTATTTTGCTGCCTGCATATGCACTTCAACTATGAAGACTGAGGCAGTATGTACCTACCTATAAAATGTCAGTATCCACCTAGAATGTTACAATGCATCACAACTCAAAAGATCACAATCCAGATTTCAATCGAGTTCGATACTGAAGTTCCACACTAAAAATTTCCTTGCAAATTTAATTTTGCTTCATATTTCTTCAATATATTACTTACTTCACATAAAGTTCAGGCTGAACTTTACTGATTTTCACAAAAATTTGTCCTTGTATAAAAAGATTCATAAGTGACATAAAAGTCAACAAGACACTATCACTTTTACTTAAAACATCTTTTAATATGTCAAATATTTAATTAAGAATCATGATAGAAAGTCGTCTTCTGGGTTTAGGCGCCGTGTATTCTTCGTTTTGGCCAACGTTTCGGAGGAACGTATCGCCTCCATCTTCAGAGCAGGTGAATGGCTTGGAATGCAGAGAGCAGTAGCAGTAGCAGCTACTGCTACTGCTCTGAAGATGGAGGCGATACGTTCCTCCGAAACGTCAGCCAAAACGAAAAATACACGGCGCCTAAACCCAGAAGACGACTTTCTTCTTAGTCATTGCCGTGAAAACCTCAAAACTTACAAGAACAATGATAGTTCAGTTAGTAAAGCAATGGGCTACATTCCTGGCAGGGGCAAGATTTTTCTCTTTTCCATAGTGTGTAGACCAGCTCTAGGGCTGACCTAGCCTTCTACCCAATGGGTACTTTGGGCTGTTTCCCTGAGGGTAAAGCAGCAGGTGTGTGAAGCCGACCACTCATTTACATCTAGTATCATAGATTAATGAATAATGAATTGGAAGGGATGTGGAAGGAAGCAGTCATGGCTAATCTGAGACTCTATCGCAGCATTTGCTTGGATAGACTGGGGAAAGTAGCAAACTCCCTGTCATTATAGTTGGTATATTAGTTGAGATTCAAGCTGGACGCCTTCCGAACACAAGCTGTAAATATCAGCACTTCAACCAACTTAGTCTGTAGTTTTCACTCTGAAATAGCCATGTCCCCCCTTTGATAGACAAAACAGACAGTTTTTCTGCTGGGCCTCACCTGGTACTGTTTGATGATCAGATCAGGTCTCTGAGCCCGCAGCATCAAGGACTCAAAATCTGAGTAATTCTTAGAGTTGAACACATCTTTTGCCTGACCAAGTAAGACCTCTGTAACTGAGTCAGGGTCATGTTCCTCTGCCACCCGCTGTGCGTTCTTCCAGTCTTGGTTGTGAATATACCTGCAACAGACAGCAGGAAGGGAAATAATCCTTGCTGTCACTATAAAGCATGCGTTACAACCATAACCTTAATTTTTTTTAATATCAAATATCACAATTGAGTTGGTTAGCAATCCTGTTTCATAGCCTGGAGGTCAGCTATCCTAACAAGTTCCCTGTGGCTCTCATCAGTCATTCCAGGCAAAGGCTGAGTTAATACGTTAATAGGCCACGCCATCGTTCAAGCGGTTAGTCGCTGGCTTCCCACCGCCGAGTGGACCCAACTGGACCCCACCCCCCACTAAGCGAAATGCCAATTAATATGTTAATACAGGTGATAACCACTTGCTTCCACATCCTTTCTAGTGCATCATTTACAATCTTCTCCTTATTCAATGCTGTATAACTTATGCAAATCAGAATTATCACTGTATAAACTAAGAAACAAACATTCACTTTCATGCTTGTGACCTAGCTTTCTTGACGTAAGACTCTAGGACTTTTGTGTTTACTTCATTTGTAGTCTATTTAACAATTTTGTCAGTAACAGTGACTGCACAGTGCTGAATGATGCAGTGATAATGTGTATTGTAGGTATAGTCAGATTATAAAGCTATTTAGGCTCATACTGCTACTGTACAGCCTGATAGAGACCTGCAACAATGTGCAGAGCTTCACTTCTCACTGAGCAGCAAACATGGATCATGTAAATTTGTGTATTATATACAGGACAAAAATATCACAGAATCTGAGAACTCCTGTCTTATGGGATGCCATTATGCAAACAACTCAGATGTTAGATATAAAATCTTGTTTCTGTAACATGCTGTAACAAAAATATGAGATGATATAGCTCAAACTATTCCAAAAAAGGGCAAAAACTTCTGGTTAAGCATAAAAATATATGTAATACATAAAATTCACAAAATAATACTGCAAAATTTCAATTGTATGTACCTGACTGAAGCAAGGGCACACCCCTGCAATTAAATCAAATAGACTTGATCACTGAGGTGAAAAGGAAAGCTGATGGAAGATTCATGCTTCAACTGTACAGGTAAAAATTACAGACCAGTGTGGAGAAATGAATCAGATCTTTGCTTCCAGTTACCGTCTCTCTCAAGTACCATCTATTCAGAGATAACATTCATTGTGTAGATGGACTAACTATTGTTTTCCATCCATCATGCTGCAATAAGCACCCTCTCATTTCTCACTCAGACTGTCTACATACACAGTAACCAAATGCCTGTCTGTCCATCTGTCCTACTCTGTTTCTCCCAAACGTAAATAAAATAAAATAAAATCCATTAAATTTTCTATTAAAATTTGCATTATTTTTGTTAAATTCTATTCCACCTCACAAGGGGTGTCATCCATTTGTTAAAACTATATGTTTCTCTCTGGGTGTTTTATTGCAGAAGCTTGTTTTTTATGTTCGTTAGCCCGTTGTTCTGTTACGTCTGCAATCTGCAGCCCCTTGCTTGTGTGTTGTTCCCTCTAGCAGCGTCTGGTGTCATCTTCATTAGCATAAGTAGAAGAAAAAGGAACAATATGTTGCATTATTGATGGAATGTGTTACACATAGACGTTTTAATATGGCTTGCAACACAATGCTAAAATACAGAATTACAAATAGTTTTAAATGTTACTCACATGAGAACGGCCTCCCTGGGTTTACCAGCCTTTACAAATTCCTTTTCGGCCTCGTCAAATTTTCCATCATCTTCCAGTGCCATGGCACATTTGTAGTGGATATCTGGCACTTTTGACTTCATGGCAGTGCGTGCCAAATCAAATGCAAACTCAAACTGGGAAAACACAATTCAGAAACCATATTTCTATAGTAAGGTAAAAAGGTTAATTTGTCTCTGTGCTTAACTAATTAAACACTACACCATGAAGGCATATGGGAGAGTGGATGTATAGATCCACATTTTCTTGACCACGGCACTAGCTGGATGTGAGTGGTCAGCTTCACACCCCTGCCACTTTCTCTCCAGGGAAAGAGCCCTCAGTACCCATTGGATAGGAGACTGGGTGGAGCCCAGAGCTGGTCTGGACGATGTGGTGAAGAGAAAATTCTTGACCCTATCATGACTTGAACTCAGACCCCTCAGTCGCCCAGCCCATAGTCAGTCACTATACTGACTATGCTATCCCAGCTCCTATATTTCTACAGTACTGAACAAATTATCATGACACATAGACATGTTTAAATGGTTTGCTTCTAGCAATGCTCAGTGTACATCACAGCCAAATCTTTTCTCATAATAAACATTCAAGAACCAGTTGTGATGGTGGCTTTAACAGTTAAATTTAACATTCCATGTTACTAGTGAGCTGTTGTTAGTACAGTGACCAGATTATAGGCTGGCCAAGTGATATATGATTTCTAGTACAGGCATAGATTTTGCTCTTTTCCATGAGAGGCAGACCAGTTCTATAGATCTGCCAAGCATACTTATGGGTAACAGGTCTTGTTTCCTGCGGTTAAACTGACTAGTGCATGAAACTGACCTCTCATCTCCATCTAATGCTAAGGGTAAGAATACATGGAGCTATACCTTTACTGCACCATATGCCTTCATTTGGTGGTGATTAATTAAGCACAGGCACAATATTAACTATTTTATCAATATTTTAAATCTCTTCTGTTTCCATGATATTTCATGCATTGTTTTCATCTTCAAGAGGTTCAGACAACATGTCTTGTGTAGGCAGAAGTATGAGTATATATGTATATTTTACCTATGGGAAGTGCACTGTTCTGTGTAGTCAAACTCTCAATTGTCATACAAATATCACTACAACAGACATTTACATAGCTGCGACGTTTATATTATTTATGGCACTAAATTAAAAATAAAACATGTTGACAAGGTGAACTCTGATATGGTTAAAACAAAACTTAAAACATCAACCTAAAGGTAAAAGATGCCAGGGAAGACCTATGAAATGACTAAAGGATCCTATTTTGTAATATATAAACCAAGTTTCTATAGTCTGTTACTGAAACTGGTGAAGATGATTAAATAATAAAACAGGAACTTGGGCCCTAAGGGTAAGATATTGGGAAAATATGATTATTTTTCAAAAGCTATAATAAGGAGAAAACAAATGAACAGACATCCTTACATACAATAAAAGAAATATACTACTAAAATTATGGCATTTCATATAACACTCATTATGATAAACTCTTCACCACAGACCATACCAATAGTAGACCTCCACCATATTGCACTGTATGCCAGCATTAACATACCTGATAAATTTCGCAAGCATAATCAATAGAGATTTCCAGAAGATTGAACTTAGTAAGGAGCTTAACAGCTGAATCACCTCCTAAGGATTTAGCCCACAGGAATGCAACTTGCTGGCTGGCCTGCTGCCCTCCACTGTTCTTGGCAACCTGGAATGTTAAGAACTCCATCTACATAATGTATACACACTGTGCTGAACAAGGTATGTCTCAGTCATGACTGGCCTCAATATATTACACGTTTCCTTATTTACCAAAGAAGCCATCTGGTTGTCTGTCTTTTGAGGCATGTGAATAGGCATGGGATACCTCAGTGGGTACAGCACAGGCCATGGGTTGGATGGTCAGGGTGTGATTCCTGGCAGCGGCATGATTTTTCTCTCATCCATATCATCAAGACAGGTTCTGGGGCCCTATACAATCAGTATCAGGGGCTGTTTCCCCAGGAGTAAAGCGAATGTAGTGTGAAACTGACAATTCACCTCCATCTAGTGACAAGGTCAAGAATACTGGAGCTATACCTCCACTCCCCCATATGCTTTCATGTCATGGTGCTTAATTAATTAAGCATAGGGACAACTTTACTTTTATGTTTAATATTTGTCTTTTACAAAAACAGTAGAGTTTACAGTAAATGAACTGGTAGTTACTCCTTTTAGGTTTTCATGGTAGTTATTGCTGATAGAGGCAGCATGTACCTCCAAAATGTTGGCAACACTTCCGACATCCACAATGTGAAATGATCAAAGAACTCAACTAGTATCAAGAATAGGTAAGATGTAAGACTGTCCTGATAATGAAAAAATATATAATTTTTTTAATGTTAGTGGGGTGGGACTAAGTCCCTTGTACTGCGGCCACTTCTGGCCTATTGTACCAGCCCCAGATGATAGGTGAGGGTGATTGTGGAGCAATTGGTGGAATGAAGATTGGCAGGGGAAACTGAAGTACTCAGAGAAGACCTACCCCAGCGCCACTTTGTCCACCACAAATCCCACTTGACCAGACCTGGGATCGAACCCAGGCTGCCGCGGTGAGAAGCCACTGACTAACCACTTGAGCTATGGTGCGGCCAACCAATGATATAAGTACAATAATTTAAATATTCTGAAAATCTAGTAAGACCAAGGGGGAAAAAGAGGTCTGAAGAATTATTCTTATGTATAAGTGCTTGGTTCATGCTGGTTTCTTACATGGCTTACTCTTCAGCCCTGAGGACAGAGGAAACATGTTCCTGCAAAATGTTGGTAGACTTTCAACAGACTTCACAGCACCCCACAGGACAGAACCCTTAAAAAAGTTTAACAGAAGATGCCAAAATATTTAATATGTTGGCTGCTGTTTATGTATCTACAAACTATTCACTAAAATTTATATAACCAACAAAAAAATTATCCTTCAATTAAATTTTTCAGACTTGGTCTACGTGCAGTAATACTGAGGGATAAATTAACTTTATCCTGATATCTGATAATATTTTATTAAAATCCAACATTTCCTATGGTCAGCTGCTGTTTCTTTGATCAGCTGTCAACCAAATGGTACAGTCATCATTTCAGTGCATACAGCAAGCCTTTACCAAGCAAGTGCTGCCACCTACTAACTTTTTATTATACATTTGCCTCTGTGGCCAGATGTCAGTACATGACTGATGCATATTTTCTCCTTCTTTCTGTGTTTAGATGTTAATCAAACTCCTCAGCCATAATTTCAGTGCTTTCATCAAGTTAGTATTGCATCTGCTGATAGATTTTATAGTATTTTTCAAATATAAGCAATATTATATGTACTATGCAGATAATTGGGAGTAAAATGGTTGAAAAATCTTGGCAAAGGAGAAGATTTTCAACCTCATCACCAGGCAGAGTTAAGTCCAGAGAAATGTGTTAAGTAAGTCAATGCATAAGGCTGTGCCATAGCTCAAGCGGTTAGTCGCTGGCTTCCCATCACAGCGGCCCAAGTTCAATCCTGGGTCTGGTCAAGTGGGATTTGTGGTGGACAAAGTGGCGCTGGGGCAGGTTTTCTCCGAGTACTTCGGTTTCCCCTGCCAATCTTCATTCCGCCAATTGCTCCACAATCACCCTCACCTATCATCTGGGGCTGGAACAAGAGGCCAGAAGTGGCCGCAGTACAAGGGACTTAGTCCCACCCCACTAGCATTAAAAGAAAAAAAGTCAATGCATTGACTGACCCTGTAAGCATCCTCCCACATGTTGGAGGCTCGGTACATGCTGACAGCCCCTTTCCAGTCTCCAGCACTGAGGTAATGTTGTTCTGCACCCTTCCAATTGTTATCTGCCTCCATTTCTTGTGCAAGATGCACATGTGTTGTCTGCACCAATTCAGGATGGTGCTGACCTACCAAGCGTATCATCTGTCACATGGAACAAAATAAACTAAGTTTAAAAAATAAATACCATATCACTACAGTCAGAATTAACACAGGTATTGGCAAGAATGGTAATAGCAGAGGAAGACTGTAAGATATTCAAACTGTAAGAGAAATTAAGAAATTAAGAGAGAATTACAGATTCCTCAAAGAAATTACTTACTTACTTATGTACTTATGAAGCTGAGACCCTCTTGAGAAGCCTCCTATTCTGCAGCTACTCAAGAATTTCCCAGCACTTTATGGAACCCAAAGGTTCGTTATGGTATTCACAAGAGCCCTCCACTGGTCCCTATCCCAAGCCAGATCAATCCAATCCATACCATCCCATCCTATCTCTCTAAGATCCATTTTGATATTGTCCGCCCACCTATGCCTTGGTCTTCCCTGTGGTCTCTTCCCTTCTAGCTTTCCCATCAATATCCTATATGCATTCCTCGTCTCCCCATTCATGTTACATGCCCTGCCCACCTCATCCTCCTTGACTTGATCATTCTAATTATACTTGGAGAAACAACAGAATTTATAAAATAACACAGAAGAAATTGGAAAGAACATATTGACGGGGTCAGCTCTGGAAGGAATCAAAAATGATCTTAAAATATTAACCAAAGAGAAGAGGAAGTTTGGGAAGACTTCTGAATTGCTGGTAGGATTCTCTTTTCTAATATCTGTTGCAGGTGTCAATAGGCCTTCATAGGATGAGAGCGGCGAAAAATTAATAGACAAATACAGGAACAATATGAGATAGGTACAAGGGATAAAATAGGCTGCGCCATAGCTCAAGCGGTTAGTCGCTGGCTTCCCACCAATCCCGGGTCTGGTCAAGTGGGATTTGTGGTGGACAAAATGGAGCTGGGGCATGTTTTCTCCGAGCACTTCGGTTTCCCCTGTCAATCTTCATTCCACCAAATTCTCCATCATCATAATCACTTGGGGCAGGCTACAATAGGCCAATCAGTTCCAGCCATGCCGAGTGGACCAAGTTGGACTCCACCCACCATTAAGTGAATTAAAAGAAGGGATAAAATGCACTTCTTAGAGCTTTTTACTCACAATGTATGACCTACTGTCATGTAACGCCTGGTATCAAGGAGAAGCAACCATTTAACTAAAGATGATACAAATCATGATACAATAACTGCAACATCTAACATGTAAGAAATATCACCAACTAATTCCAAAGACTGTCAGCAGCTCAGACCACATAGTGTCAAATGGTAGGACAATGAAAGAGAAATGCATCAGAGAGATATCGAAGGATGTGACCTAATGGCATTTGCTTTGAGGGACTGAGGAATAGCATTATACGGTCAGGATAGGCCACCTCTGGGATGATATGGATTCTTCATGTCATCTTTAATGCTACAGAAAATCTCAGGCATTTCTAAGAGACATAGGATTGGCTAAGTTTGTTTTGCTGTCAGGTATCAAATCATTCGTCTGTACACAGCAATATTTCAGTATCGCTAGGAACACTGACCTATGCCATTTTTAGAACTTACCGTATTTACACATGTATAGACCGCACATTTTTTGCCAAAAATTCAAGAGGAAAACTGAGGTGCGGCTTATATTCAAAATATTCGAAATCACACTTCATCTAAAAAAATTATATTCATAATTAGTAATACAGGGTGTAATACTCCTGAAATAATATTCCAAGAAAATTATTTTTTCTATAATTTCTGTCTGAAAATTGTGCTGTGGCCTATACACGCACGCGGCCTATACATGCGTAAATACGGTACTTTCTTAAAGTAGGCCTCTGTGATCTCCACCTTGTCTCTGCATCTGAGTATCGCCCCTATCAAATTTTGAATGCCTGTACCAATTTTTATGCTATTTGGTATGTATATAATTGAGTAACATATTTAAAAAATCCCTCCCACCAGTCTGTGTGTCTGTATGTGTATCTCTCCTATTGTTGCCATGCAATGGCTCATTTAAGTGTATCCCTCCTTTCAGCATTAGGCAAGGGCTCAGTAAAAAAGTTACTGCAGCAACAAATACAAGCAACAACAGAAGAACTTTTGGATACATCAATTTATATGTTCTGAGTTTTATCAAAGGTGAATCTGTGGTTCTGTCCATGTATCCCCCTATCACTACTAGGTAACAACTCAATAAAGACATTCCCACAGAAATGAAGAAATGTCAGAGGCATCATTTTCTACGTGGTTCATGCTGTATCAAAGGAAAGTAGGCGATTAGTTCCTGCAGAACTTCAGAGAAAGTAGTCCTGATTATGGTGGTATAACCACTACATCTTGCACTGAGGAAATATAATTTACCTGGTCTCAATGGTGGCAATACAGTAACTTTAACCCTTCTTACCTGCTCATACTGGTGGTGTTTTTTGTACATTGATATGGCCATGTCAGGTTCGGATACTAAGAGATATAATTTTTCAGCTTCTCGGAGCTTCCCCTGCTCCTCCAGATTTTTGGCATGAGAGACGTACATTGCGGACACCTCACTGGACCCCAAATACTGGCTTGCCAGTTTATAGGCTTTATCCCACTCACCTGCAAAACAAACCATATGATAAAGTTTGTGGAAAAATGCAGTAAAATGAGGGCTAAGAGAAGGTTAGGTTAATCCAGATGTCAGATAATCTCCCCCTCCCTGCCTCTAACCCCCCCTCTCTGACTCTACAGCCCTCTTAAACCTATACACAGTTGGTAGGTCTCCTTGGAAGGGGGATCAGCCCATCGCAAGGCCTCTACCTATACACAGAATAATACAAACACAGAACAAAAGCACACAGACATCCATACCTCAAGTGGCATTCGAACCCACGACGCCGGTGTTCGAGTGGACGAGGATGGTTCATGCCTTAGACTGCACAGTCACTGTGATCAGCTTGAAATGCCACACATAATTAAATTGAAATTACTGAAGACATTATATTAGGTTTCATTTCACCAACATGGTTAAGTAAGATAATTAAAGGTGAAAACAGTAGCATTTCTAAATGAGATCTATGGCCGCTTGACATCACTAAATTAAGTCACATTTTACTGGGGGATAACTGTTACTAAACTGGACTGGCTTAGTGCGCTCTACACCAAAATATCACAAACAGTGGACAAGAATCACTAACTTTAATTATGTGGATAGCAGACCTACTACTACAAGCAGAGATGAGTTGTACATATGTCAGACCTTCAATCCATCCTGTAAATTTACCTGCTTGATTGTACATATCGATGGCTTCCTTATACATTCCTGCTTTGATGTACAAATTCTCAGCTGTTGAATATTCTTGGTTAGAAGCAAAATGCTGTCCAAGTTGAGCATAGTATTTGGAAACAGTTTGGGGATCATCAAACACCTATGAAAAATACAAAACATTAGAGTTCTTCATGGACTATCATTTCATTCTTCCTTACTCGTCCCTTTCATAACCAACTCCAAGAGCACAACTGCTCCTGGAAAGTCAGCAGTGGTCCAACTAACCAACTCCATCATGCAGAGTCCAACTTCAAAAACTAACCATCATCCAACTAATCAAGAAATTTGCTGACATTTATGGAAATTAAAGGCTTATTACCACGTTTACAAGTCTGCCACTGGGCAATAACCCTAAGAAATAACTGTACTGAACATGAAGAGGCATCTGTAGTTCTTAAAATGGTCTCTTCTATACAGCTAACATTACCACATTTAACTGTCTTCAGCCTTATGTTTACAAATGGATACAGCAGGGTGGTTCTGCAGTGAATCTGAACAGAATCATAGATGCTGATGCCATTCGATCTACTAACAGTCAAAATAACATTAATACACTGGATAGATGTCAGATGTTCTGCACTCTGTTCTTCACCATTGCTGTCCAGCATCATTTTGTCTTCTTCAAAACACTGCCCTTGGATATAGGACATTTCTTCCGTTGTTCTAACAAGTTGTTAAATAGATTCCAAATGGTTCTGATAATGGTGGATGACACACAGAATTACTGGGTTTTTTAACTTTTTCCATCGTCCAGAATTCTAGGTAACAGAGGACATGTTTTGGAAACTGGATCTGTTTCCGTCTTCAGGTGAGAAAGGAAGACACCTACTCAGTTGGGCCCTTAGAAAGAGCTAATCTCAATCACATTGTTATATGTCCATGGAAAGCCTCCATTTCTCACACAGGTGGGTACAAACATTTCAGAGCTTGTTACCTCCATTTTCAGAACCAAAGACAGTGGGGTGAAGCTGTATCAGCAAGTCCCTATGAAACATTAGTATCCACCAACATGAAATAGTCAAGATGGCCAGAATCCATTGCAAAAGCCTCAAGTCACATACAAAATTACTCAGTCTGTATAATATTCAGTCGCTTAATCTCAGTATAAAGGATCAGAAAATCACCCACAGCACATAGGAATCATCGCATAATATATATAGCTCTTGAGTGAACCTGTAAAAACTTACTGTCAATTGTGGGAAAAGAGGTTCTCGTGACAATGAGTATTAAGGTAATGGATGGTCTTCCGATAGTCTGGTAGACAGATACTAACGTTCAGGAGGAACCCACTGTCTCTATATTCAGGGCAGCCATGGTACTACATTCCAGAAGACTGTAATTTTATTATTGTCAAATGTTCATTGATGTCACCTCCAATGGAATTTTGGAAGTGGGTAGGATTTTTTTTTGCTAGTGGGGTGGGACTAAGTCCCTTGTACTGCAGCCACTTCTGGCCTATTGTACCAGCCCCAGATGATAGGTGAGGGTGATTGTGGAGCAATTGGTGCAATGAAGATTGGCAGGGGAAACCGAAGTACTTGGAGAAAACCTGCCCCAGCGCCACTTTGTCCACCACAAATCCCACTTTACCAGACCCGGAATCGAACACAGGCTGCCACAGTGGGAAGCCAGCAACTAACCGCGGCCGTAAGTGGGTAGGTTAGTATCATATAGCAGCTTCAGTTCATAAATTAACTGAATAGTTCTAGTAAATATCTCTAGCCAAAGCTTGCAACATGCTACCTGGATGATCTGAACAGATTTCTTCCATTGCCTCGCCCCCATGGCTGCTTCTAGTGCCTTCAGAGTCTTACCAGACTCAATGTAATGACTGATAGAGCTGTCTAGCTGCTTATTGGCTATCAGATGGTCTCCCCACTGCTCCTCAAGATGTACAACCTCTGTGAAGAACCAGAATTATGTCACTTTTTGGTCTGAGGCGGGAAGAGCTTCAAAAGCAAAACTGTATAGGTAAGAAATTGTTAACTAATTTTATATTATATGCACTGATTGTATATATCTTACAGATACCCAAAGACATAAAAATTAATAGCATTGATGATTAATAAGATGTAAATGTTTGTGACGATGGTATATTGCTACAAGTCTTATGTTTCTGGATATTATCCATCGTCTTGTCTATTTTTTAAAAACCGTCCCTGTGAAACAAGAGATAGCTCAGTACCTGATGGAGAAACAAACCGAGCGAGTTCTATGGCTCTTGCAAATGCCTTGGCCTTTCTGTAGCAGTCAAATGCCTTTTCAGTCTGGTTCACTTTCTCATACAGTTCTCCCGCCTGTTCGAATAACTCGCTGCGCAGTAGAGCCGATGCAACTTTAGCAACAAGTTCATCATTATGCAGCATTTCAGGATTGTTCTGGATCAATCTGAAATTTAAATATAATATAATATGGTTTATAAAAGTAAGTCATCGTGTATAACCAGTGAGATGAAATTGTCATGAAAGGAAAATAAGAGGCCTCCAGATTCAGATGGCTGGAAAATATAGACAATGATTTATTGCAATTAAAATGGAGGCAAAGGGGGAGTAATAACAGAGAATAATGTACATCTGTGGTCAAGGAGATAGGTGTTCTTGAAGGACTATAGAGTGTGTAACTGAAAGGTACCAACAGACTTTGGGCACAAGTTCCACATAACAAAACAATAAAAATGTTCATACTCATGTACAAAGCCGTTTGCGTGACTGATAATAACGGGTACTGGATTAGATGATTGGATATACTGGCATTTCTTTATAATTACAATTAATTATAACAGCTCACAAATGATGACTGTCTAAGACTCACTCAATTCCTTACTAGACTACGGGTGTCTTCTCTTCCACTGTGTCTGACTTGGTTCTCATTTACAAATTGGTCACATCTTCTACTGCCGTTGCCCATTGGCTAACACTCCACAGCTGAACTTCTGAATCACTGAACTCCCTTATGAATGCAGAATGAATGAACTCTCCTGAACTGAACTAACTTCCAGGCAAACCGAATATAAGTCACCATATCTTACAGTTCCTGTGTTGTTCTGTTTGTATCTGTTGCCATGGGAACACACTTATCGAAACATTGCCCAGCAATGGATTATCCCACGGCTATTCGTTGTAACAAGAACATGCTTACCAAACCCTTTCCTAGCAATGGTCATATTCACCACAATATTAGCAAGTGTCTGGAAACATTTAATTTGTGAGCTATGGCTGAAAGGTACATTTATAATAATTTATAATATGATACGTGTTATTGAGAACATCATGCATAGCAGGGCTAATATGTGCTGCAGCACCATCATGCATGTACCATATTCATCCTCTGACTGCCAGTGGTATGTCTTCCAGTAGCTTTCGTGAATCATGTAAGAGGAAATCTTGGAAGTGGTTGCCTGTAAGTCAATGTGGCAAAGCATGCGAGCTTACCAAACAATCACAACAATTTCTGCCCACACAACAATGCATGGAGAACATGCACTCTTTCAGCTGTAATTTGCAGATTAAGTATTTCCAGGCACATGTTCATATGGATATTTTTTCTTCTTTTGGTATGTAAAACTCATGCCCAAAGTTTGTCTGTATAAAAAAGGTTAAAAGTAAAACTATCCCTGTAACATGTTGTAAAGGTTGTGAAGATTCTGTAAGAAGAGTACAATCTTCTGTGTTGTAATGCAGCATAGTTCATTTATAGGTCCATTGATATTTCTGCAAAACATCTGTGGACTTCTATCGAACTTCATGGCATTACAATCCTGAAGATCATAATCTTCATAATTGTTTCTGCAAAAACCTCAAATACAACAAGAAATCTCTATTTTTAAGGTTATATATCATGCTCAGTTTGAGACATATAATCACAGAGGTTGTGAAATGTTCAGAAACTCAATTTGTTTGCCACACATACTGATATTGAAAGCAAAGATATATCTGTAGCTGTTTTACACCAGTATTGGGCCCCACCTCACCAAGTCTTATGCTTTGAATGCTAGATATCCTAATATAAGCGAACCAATAGTGTGGCACATTCAGATCTGACGCAACTATACTTCTTTATGTGGGGATTTGTGGAAAGGTTGTCTAGGTCAAGAAAACCTGGCAATCTGTGACATCTACAAAATGATTCACTCAAAGAAGCCCCTGAATTGATAATTAGAAATCTCATTTGACGATGTTAATGAAACTTGACAACACTGTGTACTTTGCAACATGGCCCTGTTCATAACATTTTCTTTACTCTATGATTCCACATGTTGTGTGGCANAATTTTTCGAAAATATTTAACAGTACTCAGACGTTCAAAAAGTTTCTTGTCTTACAATTTGAATTAATATTAAAAATCGGCTCAATTATATGTAGTTACTGAGGGCACAGAAAAATATACCACGGGCGCCGAGTTGGACAGGGCTATTCTAGACAAACAGATTTCAACATCCTCTGTAACCAATTTTCACCGCATCGACCATTTTTATCAGAAAATTATTGCACCATTTACAATTTTTGGTCTCTTCCAATTGAATCACCCTGTACAAGAGACAGCTCCTGCAAGTATAGTAACAGTCACTCTGAACATGTGCCGCTGTATGTAGACCAAGAGTGAATTATATATGTATGTCTGAAGGACACCAAATAATGACCTTTAAGGCACATAACCCCTGAGAGATTCTTCATATTATGTGAAATGAATTATTGTATTTTGTTTTATATTTGGAAAATTAATTATGAGCCAGTGTCCTTGTTCTCAATGTGCCTACCCACTATTTCTTTATCTAGGACCCACCTAGAAGCCCTTGTGGGGAGGCTAGCTTTGAGATACAAACTAAGTGCTGCATTGTAGTCACCATCCTTTTCCTTAAGCTCACCAGCCCTCTCTTCCTGCCTGGTCTCCAGCAGCCACTTCATATGTTTCTCACGAAGTTCTTCATATTTGGGGTGACTCTTCAGCTCAGCCAGTTCTAAAGCTGCAGACAAACCAGCCACTCAGCTTGGCAAGGGAACAGAATTATGCAGATGCCATTCATTTGTTTAATCATGAAGGTTACGACATGGTAGCCTTGTACCTTAAGACATAATTTTCTTTGTGTTTTATTTAATGATGCTGTTAGTAAGGGTAAAGCTATCCCTGTAACAGGCCATGGAGGCCCATAGGATTGTGAGAGGTTCAGGCTCCCACATTTTCTAGACAATCTAGACAACAGCTTGTGGTAACTCTTCTAAACACACACAAAATACAGCTTCATCAGGAAAACATATTGTGTTTAGTTAGGTCTCGTCCTCTTCAATGTGGGGAAACATTTCTAAAGTAAATTGTTTTTTCCAGTCCTGATCTGTACATGTTACCTTCTGGGCCAAGTGAAGCCTATAAGCATCTAGTTTTGGTCTCTTGTGCTAAACATGCACAGTTGAATGAGGCAAGTCTAATTCTACACTTGGTCAGTGTACAGACTTTCCATGGCTCCTTTGAATTAATTCATATATGCATTTGACATTTTCTTGGGACAGTGCAGTGTGGAGGCCCATTTTGGTGCAAGACACTCCCGTTCTCTTTCAGACACTTGTCCAAAGCAATAACAGATCTGCAGATCACTGCAGCTTAACCTGGGTAAACCTAATTAAATTTGCATCATATGTGGATGTATAACTGAAACTCTGCCAACCACAGACTGCAAGTCACACTCTGCCACACAGAGGACATCTTCTCTTCAAGTGAAGCAAAATGGAATGTGAAGGAGCTGCTCCACATGTGTGTGCATACATGTGGAAAGTAACTTGGCCAAGCAGGGAAAAGACTTGAAGACTTATCACACTACATGAAAATATTCACAGCTTAATGTCTGATTTCATTTCACATGTATAATATTTCATTTTATTAACATGTGTGGCTGGACACTCAGTACAAAAGAATTTAAAAAATTCCAGAAGTAAGGCTACATTATGCTACCTTCATCCCATTTGTGGAAGCGCTGGTACATGCTGAGGGCCTCGTCCAGTTGATTCTGTTCCAAATAGATGGTCTCTGCTTCTTTCAGTCTCTTGTTGAGGATCGCCAAACGGGCCCATACTTCAGGACAAGCCATCCCATTGCCATCTGATTAATCAATTTAAAGGTTAATGTCATACCATCTAAAATGTATGAAGGTTGTAAGGAAAACAGTCACTCACACCTGTAGCAGGAGGAAGGAAATTGAATCCAGTCTGGGAAAATGGCATGGTGGGCAGGAAAACAGCCCTTTTCTGAGCTGCAATATGGTTTCTTGCCACAGGAGGGATATGAAGTTGCCCTCTTTCAGAGCCACATTTCACTGGACTGTGCTCCTTTCCTTACCACTTCCAGGCGGGAGTCTGAAAAAGTGTTTCCACATGTATAGTTTGTAGGGTGAGGTGAGACTGAGTTCACTTTGTAGGTATAAATCCCACATATAGTGAACATTTTCTTATTTCCAGCCAAAGTCCAAAAAGTAATATATTATATTCCCCTATTTAATGAATTTCAATTTAGCAAATAATCCATATCTGGTGGAATAAATTCTCAACTTACCAGAACTCATACCTTGATTTAGAATGACTGTTGTCTGATCAACAATTGACATTCACATTTTCTCTCTGCCAGAAACTGTTATTGATCAATATGATATTAATGTAATCATATTTATTTGTGTAGAAACTGTTTCCTTAACTACCTGTGTAAGAGAACTATTTTACAATAAATATATATAGAAAATCTTTTAAAAGTATGAACAGTTTACTGATATGATTTTGCATAACCTCCATATAGTAAAAACTTTGAATTAGCGTATGTATGTATGTATGTAAGGGGTGGGCCATAAAAACCGGCCCCCACACTGCAACCTTCAATGATCTATTGTGCTTCCCCTTGGATTAGCCCTTTATTAATCCTACACTTTTAATAAAGTGTAGGACCCTGCTTATGGGGGTGTCATGAAAGTCACTTGGTTCCATAAAAAACTGACCCAAGTGACGAAATCTTAAATAAGCTATGGCCTCACAATCACATAGGATGTGTGTGGCTGATTCATTTTCTTGTAGGCACCTTTCACAAGTTGGGTTATCTTGAATTAGCGTAAGAAAAGCCGGAGATTAAATATACATGGAATTTTTCTGTATATAAAATTAATATTTAAATCCGTTAATAGAGAAGAATTGAGGCAGATTGTTCAGGAGGTAAAAGCTCACCCTGAGCTGTAGCGCTGAGGGGAAGGAAGGAAGGAAGTTAAATCTGTTAAATACCATTTGATTTTGCATATTCATCTGCTAGCTTTATAGTTTCTCGTAGATAATGTGTTCGAGCAACATCTCCCAGAGCAGCGTAACATCGCTCAGCCACCTGCAACTTATTCATATCAATAGCAATGCTGGCAAGATTGCTCCACATTGCCTCAGCTTCAGGCTTGTTTCCTAGGGACTCCAGGAACATGATGGCTCGACCAAAATCGTTATCATGGACTGCAGTACCGAATTCAACAAGGCCCTCGTCCAACTCATATCCCAGCTGATGCTGGCCCTCTTGAACAACTACCTGCAAATGGTGTAGTTGATATGTATACACTGAAAGCCTGTGGTTCATATGTATGAAACTTCCAGCTTCTTACCTCTACTTAATTTAATCTTCTAAGGATACTTAAAATGCACATACATTTCTATCTATAAATTCATATGTTACAAAATACTATGAAAGAACTGAAAGCACATTCAGTACAGAATAAAATAGATGAACATAGACAAAACTCAATAAACGATCTCAATACAATGGATGATGACAGGATACCAAAACAAATTCTACAGTATGAACCAAAGAGATACTGAGACCAAGGAAGGCCTTGGAAAAGATGGCTGAGTATGTGAAGTCAAAACAGGTATGACTGTCTACACCAGGGCTGTCCAACTTCAAACTGCTGAGGGGCTGCATTATATTTTAGGTACTTGTTCATGAGCTGCATTATAAGAAATAAATGTTTTCCAATGTGCCAGTAATATACATGATCACATAGTTACACTTAACTCTATAGCTTATTTTTATAAGTTATTTATCAGATGTCATTTGAAATCAAATAAAAAACTGCGCTACATATTTAGTAAGCACTTTTTGTATAGTTTCTTCGACAAGATTCACTGAAATTTTGGAAAAAGAGGAAAGTGTTATATATATTTTGGGGAGCAGAACAATACTCTCATGGGGTGAAAAAAATTAATTGATGGGCTACAGCACATGTCCCACGAGTTGGATAGCCCTGCTCTATATCATGGAGAGAAGAATAAGAAATGTAAATGGTCCCAATGTCCAAATTAAATTCTTCCCAGAACTACACATTTGCAATATTCCACTGTGTGCACTCTTGGGTTCATCCACTAACTGTCACCATGTCTGTATTAAATATGACAGGAAATTAAAAAGTACTTAGTAGTTCTCAGTAGTAAAGTATTCATACCAAGTTTCATGAAATATTGAGTACTGATTCAAAAGTTACTAGGGACAGACACATATATGGACATGATATATATCATAATGCTATTTTGCTATATAACAATGAACATAACCTAGGAAGCGCTTTTGTTATCTAATAATCAAAATAAATGTACCTCTGTTTTTCCATCTGCTCTTACAACATCCACTATTTCTCCCTTGATGTTGAACAAAGTGACTTGTTCTGGAACGTCAATGTTGTACCACACACACAGATTGCTCCGTGACTGTGCAACAACCACATCACTACCAGGCACCCACTGTTTGACAGAATGAAATGCATAGTGTCAGTAAAGGTAAAGTTTTACTACATGTATAAATGCTGTACAACGGAAGTGTATTGAAGGTGTGGGAACTGGACGATATCCTCGTCTTCTCCCGGTCTCTAGAGGAACATAAGCAACACCTACGGGCACTCTTTGACCGACTGCAGAAGTATGGGATCCTCATCAACCCGGTGAAGTGCGTCTTCCGAGTACCTGAGATCACCTTCCTCGGTTATAAGGTGTCCGCCAAAGGCTCCCAACCGCTGGAAGAACAAGTGACTCACCTCCAGGAATGTCAACCTCCCAAAACCGCCATTCAGCTCCGCGGCTGAACTACTACAGGCGATTTCTGCCCCATGCGGCAGCACATCCCACAAAGGTATAAACTCCATGCATTCCAGACCTTGGCACTAGATTCAGAAAATTTCTTGTTCAGATCTTACTAAGTTCCTGCACTAGGAATACGTTAATATAACTAAAGGTAATTACTTGCCTGTACAAATGTGCAGAAATTTAAAATTGAACTCTTCTGGTCTCTCAAGATGTCAACTAATGTGAGGCGCATCTTCTTGTCACGAAACAGCAACTTGTGTCCGGTCTCGTTAAGCTCCAACCAATCAATCTTCGAATCGTGTGTCACCTGCGATATAGTTGTCCCATATACTAGGTCCACTGACAAAAAGAATGAGAGAAGAAATGCCTTGAGATTAAACATCAGCCGGGATAGCACAGTCTGTATAGTGACTGGTTATGGGCTGGACAACTAAAAGGGGTTGAAGTTCAAGTCCCGGTGGGGGCAAGAATTTTCACTTCTTCACATCATCCAAACCGGCTCTGGGGCCCATCCAGCCTCCTAGCCAATAGATACCTGGGGCTTTTCCCCAGGGGTAAATCGGCCGTGGCGTGAAGCTGACCACTCACCTCCAACTAGTGCCCAGGTCAAGAAAATGTGGGTCTATAAACCCACTCCCCCATACACCTTCATACACTTAATTACTTAAGCATAAGGACAACTTTGCCTTTTTAAATATAAGCAGGAGGTTTACTTCAATTTAGAAGTATAAACAGTTTTTAAATTCATACTTTGAGATTTAGCATCATTTATTGATGTCTTGATGTTTATTTATCAGCAATTTTGATCCTCATAAAGCAATAACACACTTACAGCTTCTGTATAAAACGTTTTTCATACATTAACAATTACAAATAGTGACAATGCAAACTTCTGAGGTTAATACCATGGGAATCTGTAATGCTGAAAAATATGCACAGAAATGGATTATCATTCTAGGGATCAAAGTAAACAGGTGGAACAGCATACATCAAAGGATAAGATATTTAACTGTCTTTTAACTTATGATGTTCCCTCGAATGCAGAGGAGGAAACCCTTGCCTCTGTCAGAAACCAAACACTGATTGTCCAGATTGCAGTGAGTCCACTTACCGACTGTGCCTTCTGGGCTCTAATATATATAATGGATTTTATTATCTAAATAAAAGAATTGTTTTATTTCATATTCTTTACCTATACAAATGGTCTTGAGATCGAGCAAATATGCCAATTTCTTGTTATCTTCAGCGGTGTTCAGGCGTCTTTCGTTTAAGCGCACACTGATTTGGTGTGGGTTCATGAATTCTGTCCTGAATAAGAAGCACAAGAAAGAAAAACTATACAGATGCAGTCTTGTGTCCTGTATATAATGTACAGGAATCAGTTTAATTTGCATATAAATATATGTTGCAACTTAACAAATGGTTGATAGAATCGTACCATGGTTAAAACTATTCTTTTGCACTTTGTTCATTGTCCCAACTTCCAGTTTTATAAAAATCATTAAATTTTGGAAATTTGTTCTGTTTCCTTCTTCAGGTGAAAATAATCTGAAGATACGCCTTCTCTGTTGAACCCTACTTTCATATGCTGGACACTATCCAAAAAAATATTTTAAGGATTACGTTAAACCATTGTCATAAAAACTGCAAACTTAACTTAAAATAGTACCAACCTAACGGATCCTAGAATGTCGTTCTCACCATACACAACCAGACTGAGTTCACCCGCATTGAAGATAAGACATACAGCTGGATTGTCAAAGTAGAACTTTTCATTTCGCCCAGAGCTGTTCCAGAGCACTTCACTGAGTAAGTTACGCTGTAAGTCCCCCAGAAGGATAGTTTCTGAAGTACGAGCAACAAGATAGTTGTCCCGGCCCATGATGCGCACATCATCAATCTCGTAACCATAATGTGATTTGAGAATAACACCACGTGATCCAGGATCTAATGGTTTTACAAGTACCTGGCTTGGTCCAACATATGTCATTTCAAATTTGTTCTTCCATAGTGTGCGCCTATTAAAAAGAAACAAGACATTAACAAAGGATTAACATTGAGTATTAGTGAGGTAAACAACACACTGGGTGGGCCCCAGAGCTAGTCTAGATACTGTGGAGAAGACAAAAATCTCTTGCCCCCACCCGGGAATCAAACCCTAGCCATCCAACCCATAGCCTGTCGTTATACTGACTCAGCTCTACTGCATCAATTAGATTACCTAAATATAATGTTAACAAGATGCGGTTTATAAGACCGAAAGTGTATGCAGTAGTAAAGAACTTTAACAAAATCTCCACAGAGCCCCTTGTTTTTCTATAAACGTCAAATCTACTCACTTCAGCACTGACTCAAACATTTCAACAGCTCCACAGAGAGCTCCACATGTAACCCGTGATCCATCTCGCTTCCAGCTTAGTGCTGTAATAGTATACAGATTTGGGATCTCCTTGGGCTGGTTCTCCTCCCATGAAGACTTCCGGGGACTCCAACTGAACACCCGTAACCTGTGCACAAATACAGTCACATAATAAATCCAACATCCAGAACTATATTATGTACTCTGCACATGATGTGCATATAATGGAAGCATAATTGGAAGATCATGCTTGCTTGAAATTTTCATCTGTAAAAATACTAATTTTGTATCAAATGATTTACTCACAAGTTGTTAACTCCTCAAGCTGTTATCCACAATATGTCCTTGTCAGACTGTGAGGGTTGCTACTGTTTATATAAATCTGCAGTGCACAGCTAGTAGGAGTTTAAATGCTGACTTCAGAGGTTAAGGGACCTTAATTTTAGTTTGTAATGGTGCAATATGACTGATGTAATACATGTAGGTTTTCAATTACAAGAAATAATATTGATAATAAACACCATGGACAAGAACATCTACATATTAGGTTTTCACAGAGGTGATTTTTCACTCTCTGGTCTTCCAGGCTGTGACACATGTAGTCTTGCAGGTGAATACCAATGTTTGCTGCCATGATGTCACAACCTGAATATAACATCCATCAACTTTACATGAAGCGAAATCAAAACATCATCTGTTTGATAAAAATAGCTTATTGTACAATGAACTGACACAAGATACAAAACACAGTTTAATAAGATCTACTATTTTTCTTTGAGACTCTTTTGTTCCTTGATTAAGTATGAGGAAGGCGGGATAATAATAGTAAATGGATTTGATCAGTTCTGGCCCCATATTTACCTGTCAAAGCTGCCAACAGCCACTGCCTGCCCACTTGGGCTACAGCAAGCTACCGTGAATTCCTTTTCTGTGTCATCTCGGCTATAATCAAATTGTCTCACCACACGTCCCTCTCGGCTGTACAGCACAACACGTCTGTCAGACCCTGCAGCCAGTATGTGTCCCATGGGCCATGCCAATGCATATGGCGGGGCTGAATGAACAGTCACTCGTCCCTACAAAAGTGAATACACAAGTTACATATTACAACGCTGAGTTAGAAATAGTATGGTAATTAGAAATGATGAAATGAGAAGGATGTAGGGTAATAGCTGGGCAACAGCAGGAGCCAGACAACACTTTCAAGGGCATACACTTAAAGGTATTATTTTATAACTTTTCTGCTGGTCAGCTACTAAGAATTTGCTATTAACAAGCCTTAAGGACGAAGAGGTTTGGGAGACCAACACTATGTATGTGTATGTGTGTAAGGGGTGCACCATAAAATCCAGCCCTCCCACTGCGACTTTCAATGATCTATTGTGCTTCCCCTTTAGATTAACCCTTTATTAATCCTACCCTTCAAATTAAATGTAGGACTTTATTTATGGGGGTGTCATAATAGTCACTTGGTTCCATGAAGAACTGACCCAGGTGGCAAAATCTTAAGTAAGCTATGGCCTCACAATTACATAGGATAATTGAGACCAACACTAAGGTGCATATTGTGGTCTCCTGGGTTAAGATAGATGGGTACCAATGTTTCAGAGAACCATATTGCCTCCATCTTCAGGACTGCAGTTGCCTTCTACCCTGAAAATGGAGGCAATATATTCCCCCAAAACACTGGTACCCACCAACCAAACTACACAAAGTCATAACCTAGGAGATCACAATATGAGTCTTCATTGCCTCCAAACTGTCATGGTGGAGTGGTATTTAGAGAGACAGGCTCAGCAAGAATATACAGAGACCTGACATGAAGGAGACCAAGGCTCCAATCAGACTGCAGTAACAGACACAGAGGAAAGAAAAACATTTCCTTTCATGTGTGAGAATGTACAGGAACTGGGATAGCATAGTCAGTATAGCAACTGGCTACTGGCTGGATGACCAAGAGGTCTGAGTTTGAGTCTTGGTAAGGTCAAGAATTTTCTCTTCTCCCTGTCATCCAGACGGGCTCTGGGGTCCTCACAACCTCCTATTCAATGGGTACCACGGCTCTTTCACCAGGGGTAAAGCAGCTGGGGCATGAAGCTGACCATTCAGCCCCAGTTAGTGCCAAAATCATAAAAATGTGGATATATACATCCACTCCTCCACACCCCTTCATGGCGTAGAGCTTACTTAGTCAAGAAAAGGGACAATTTTACTTTTATACCATATGCGTGGCAAGGAAACATGTTCAGCAACAGTTTGTACAAGGGCCGCGCCATAGCTCAAGCTGTTAGTCGCTGGCTTCCCACCACGGCGGCCCGGGTTCGAACCCGGGTCTGGTCAAGTGGGATTTGTGGTGGACAAAGTGGCGCTGGGGCAGGTTTTCTCCGAGTACTTTGGTTTCCCCTGCAGATCTTCATTCCACCAAATTCTCCATCATCATAATCACCCAGGGCAGGCTACAAGAGGCCAATCAGTGGCCGCCGTGCCGAGTGGACCCAGTTGGACTCCATCCCCCACTAAACGAATTGAAAAAAAAAACAGTTTGTACAATTCTCATTACCAGGTGACACTTTCTCACATTTGACGATAATGAAGAACTCAAATAGATTTGTTATGAGTCCATCAATTCATTTTGAAGTTTAGAGCACAGAACAAATGGCTTACTTTGACACAATGTACTGATATGCTTCAGCGTACAACAGTGTAACTTTTAAAAAGATTAACTAGTATCACCTGTTCTTCCATACTTGAATCTTCAACCACATAGTATCGTACAATGGTGCCATCTTCATGTCCTGATAAAAAGCCTGTTCCTCGAGGGCTAGAAAGGAATATGTCAATATGATAAAACACTAAGCACTGTTAAATACTAGCCACATTTCAGAAAATCATTTAATCAAACATCAAATCATAATCTATCACAAGTAACTGCTGCAGTATTATATGGTCTTTGCAAAGTACACGTCCCATACATCTAGTATTTGTGACCAAATTATTATCCTCCAACAAAGAGAAGGCAAGGCAACTAGCCCGCATGAATTATGGACCCTGGAAACATCAACATAATTTTTAGACAACTCTCATCATTATCACTGCTACACTGAAGCTCACTGTGTCCCTAAATAATGCTGAGTGGTCAAGACTGATCAGTTCTGTTCACCAATTACCAGCTTTCTTTTTGTTAGAGGATGATACACTACTCTCTTATTGAGCAGCATATGTTTGAGACTTCCTTCTGTTTCCTCCTTATTATTCTCCTTTTTTGATATAATTTTTCCAGAAATCTAATAACGTACTCTTATCTATCTACATATGGCTCTACAGCCGTTGTTGGACCTTGGCCACTTTTCCAGTTTCTTGATCTTTTATACAGTTGATAGGACTCCTTCGATGGGAGATCAGCCTGTCACAAGGGCACTACCTACACATGATAGCACAAACACTGAATAAATGCAAAGAGACATCCATGCCTCAAGTGGGATTCAAACTGACGACCCCAGTGTTCGAGCGAGCGAAGACAGTTCATGCCTTAGACCACACAGCCACTGTGATCAGCAATAAATTATTCTGCCTATTAATAAAATCTTCTCAGGTATGTCAAGATTTTAATTAACTGTCATGTAAGCTTCAGATCTTACATTCTGCACATTGATGATTGAGCTTAATTCTTTCTGACTTATGAGATGAAAGGCCCTTCTCAAACAAATCCCATGAATTAGAGTGCAGAATGAAGTTATGTGAAGAGAAAGCAACAAATATTCGAACACATTATTTTCCTTTATTTTGTACTTTCCTTCCTTCTGTTTCTGCATCACTTCGATTTATTACAGGTACTTTTACATTGTTTTTATCCCTATAGCCTTTGAACCAGAGACATTTTCATCTAATATTGTGGTTCTGTTTCACCCATGCTCTATCTTATCCAGATTTTATCATTATACAATAAAATCACAAAGCTCCAAAGTGAGATAGTAGTAATATAGTGTGGACAGAATATTGTACATGCTGGTTGCAAGTAGTATTAATTCTGCTGGTATGGGGCTCTACCAATAACAGTCTCTCTGTCATCAGCTGTCATGATTTTCATGAAAAATTCTTAATTAAATTTAACATTTGTATGAAACATTAAAAAATAAACCTGTGATGCACATATGTTCAACCACTATAGGGTACTTCTCCCAGCACTAACACAGCAAGTGACATCTGAGCAGAGGATAATTTAATTTGTGATTGTATTCCAGTATATGTATTAAAAATCATTCATCTACCAATCTTCTATGTCCCCTAGAAAGATTTCCACACAATTTCAGCAAAAATGTCTTGTTATGACTGCATACTGAGTTTCTGCAGGAGTTTTTCTTATGTAACCAGCTGACGCCATTCCCCATACATGCTGGATGACAGGGAGTTCATACTATTTTTTATTTTTTCAATGTTGGATGTTATGATTGGATTGTGAGTATGTGAAGCCCTTAATATTACAATAGAATTAATGTGTGAAATAGTGTGGGAGATTTGAGCTTCTCACAGCAGTAATTATGAAGATAACTGTCTTCTGAGATGAGATGCTGTGTAGTCTGGTAGATGCTTACTGATATTTCAGAGGAATATACTCCTTTCATCTGCAGGGTACAAGAGCGACACACAGTATAACATTCCAGAAGACATTAATCTTCTGCATATGACATACAGGCTGCCACAGCGGCCTCTGTAGTCTAGAGGTAACGTTCCCACCTCATGACTCGTGGTACGCGGGTTCAAACCCGGCGGAAGTCGTGCAATTTTTAAGGGCGGAAAAATTCAGGGAACAAGTCCTCCGGGAGGGACTTTAAGCCGTGGGTCCCGTGTTGTAGCTTTACGGCACGTGAAAGAACCTCTAATCTCCGAAGGAGGTCACTGAGCCAAATTCAAGGACGTTTCCCGCCCAACAGTAGTCTCTAATGCCTCTGGTAGATGGGGGAAGCATTATAGATAGCGCCAAGCCAGTAGAGGCAGAACTCGCTGGCTCGGTCAGGACTGATGGGACGCACCAATATCGGTAGGGTATAGAGACTGGTAGAATATCATAGAGGGAAGCACATTGGACCAATACTGGTCTAAGTGCATGGGGAAACCCACCCTCTCCAATAACTAACTAACTAACAACAGGCTGCCACCATCTTGTGTAATGAGAGATTACTTACTTGGAGGCAAGAGATACAACATATGAATCCGTAGCATATAAGGTCTGTGATTTGTTGCTTTTGTGATTAGCTGAACGTACTTTTCCGTCTGCCTGACCAAAGATTATGCGACCTTCACTGAGCCATATCAAACAAGTCACAGCTGACTGCTGAGGGAATTTATTACATATCACCTTCTTCTCACCCCTATATGTAAACAAATTATAATTAATGATTAAATCAAACAATGAATGAAGTTGTAGTAAATAATCTCACCTGCATTTTTCTGAAAATGAATAGATCACAGTGCACTTCATCAAAATTACTAACAACATCAGTTCCATATCTTTTGGTATCTACAGGCAATCTAATCAGACAACTATAAGATATATGCATTTCTTTCTATTTATTAAAACTAACTGTGAACTGCCATCCCACTACTCTATGGGCCTCCACAGCCTGTTACCCAGACAGCTTTACCTTTTCTATCATAAAATACCTAAATTCTATTTCACATGAATGTCAAATTCAATTTATCAGCTTTCTCAGAAACAGTTCATTGTACAGAAAAATTTCACATAACATACAGTAGGGATCTTATCAAGTTTCAGGATTTGTAGTTCAGACATCTTCAGATACAATGTATATTGGAGAGTATAAAAGATGAATAATTTCTGGTTGTAGGCTTCAAAACAATAGATGTATATCTGAGTGCAAGGTAATTGGCAACTGGCATAATACATTTCCCTACAGTCAAACAGAATACACAGTTATTTATTTAAATTACAATTGATGTTGATAATTTATAGAGAGGTATCACATAAAAGACATAGATCATTAAGATTACAAATGTAATGATGTGAAGAACTAAATATTAAATGTCCTACCACAAGATCTGCATCAACAATAAATGAACATTTTAATGTCAGTGATAGAGGCAATAAAGACATGATCATTTAGGCACTATTACTGTACATTATGTTCATTACTGGAAGTGGTAATTGAAAATGCAAAATATTCCAACACTACAACATGAATTTCCTTCCTTAAGAAATTCTTACCATACTTCTCCTATTTTATATACAAATATGATATTGTCTGTTTGCCCAACTGCTATCTTTGTGGAATCTGGTGAAAATGCCAAACCTTTTATAACATAGCTTTTCTTCCCATACTGAAACAAAAATAAAATGTATATTAAACACAAATCGTACACTACTTGCAAGGTTATTTTAAATGTACTAAATAATATCAAATTTAGTGTACAATCTGGCAGCTACCTACATGTAATGAGTAGAGATACCTTTGAGTCCACAGGTTTGGTTGAAAACTTGTCCTTCTTTTCACCCATTTCATCGAACAGATGAATTATACGATCATATGTAGAAACTGCCAATCTGACATTATTCGGAGCCCATGCTATGGCTGCAATTTTTGCCATTCCATCCTACACAAGCAAAAATATATAAACAAATAAAATTAATGAATGGGAAATGATGTGGAAGAAGTCGTCATGGCGTAATTTGAGGTGCTACCTGGACATTTCACTTGAGATGTGGAGGGAAACCACAGAAGATCTAAGGAAGATAATCAATGTCCCTGCCGAGATTTGAATTATGGACCTCAGAAACACAGGTCAGAAGCATTACTACTTTTTCCAGCTGGCTCAGTGGTACCTGCACTGTATTTCTGCACTTTGACCACAAAATGTACATACCTGAGATATGCTGCATATATTGAGGAAAGGCTGATGTATTGAATTACATGCAAAATGAATGACCAGGGCTGCCAACTACCTACGTTTTGGCCCTAGCCTTCAGAAACCGAGTTAATCTCCAGTCTTTTGTCAGACATGGTCAGAATTGGGAAATGTCATAGGACTGGTGGCTCACATACTGGTAATTTAAATGTTCCATATTTATGTATCTATATTGCCATGGAAACTAACATAACTTTGATTGCTCAGATAGAAGTAGGCAAATTCATGGGCAGATGTACAATAGGTTGGACAAGAAAATGAGCCAATCCCAACTTAAGTTAATCTAAGGTACTAGATCATGCTGACCACAAATCTTTTGTAACTTCAAACCAACCATAAGGTTGAAACCAACACAGAAGCGGAATTTAAGGCTGATTCTAGCATTGACGCTGATCCAGCAAGAATGATAGAACTGACCTCACAAACAAATCTGATACCAAGTTAGAATTCATTCTATGTGCCAAAGACAAACTAATGCCCATTTAATCTGAAGAGAATGGAACTAAACTCAACAACTCCAAAAAGTAAATCTGAATAAATTTTAATATCACTGAAAATCTCAGATGAATCATAAAAAAAAAGAAATATCCGAATAACTCTGTGCAGCTCTGAATAAATTTAAAAACACTGTCTGTGCAAATCTGCACATCCCTAATCACGCTTTCCTAGTTTGTTATTTAGCAACACTGTCAACATTGAGACTAAACAGTGCCAGATGATAGGATGATGAGGGAATGGTGAACTAGAAGGGATTTGGAAGGAAACTGTCATGCACTAACTGAGGCACTATCCTGACATTTTCCCAGATGGACTAAAAAACACAAGAACTCTGGAAGAATTATCAGCCTCCCAGTTAAGTTTCAAGACAAGCACCTCTCAAACATGAGTCTTGAGGGTCTTGAGCGTAACCGAGAGAGTAACACGCTCGGCAATAATCCTCATAACTGAAATTTAAAACTCCAGTAAGTGTTAATACACTCATAATTTATTATTAAAAATTATGAATGTATTAACACTCATAATTTATTAGTAAAAATTCACTTCTTAAAGTTCGCATTTCAAAATACCAAATTATCCTTATCTTTCCAGAAAAAAAATATTCTCATATGCGTTCTTAAATCTGATATAAAGGGGAAGCACAACAGATCACTGTAGGTCGAGGTGCATGGGCCGAGAGGGCCCACTCCTTGTACATTAATTCATTCATAAATCTGGTATAATATTAGGGATTTTCTTACCTCTGCTTGCATTATCGTTTTCAAATGTTTGAGCTGCATTTTGATAATAATTAGAAACTGAAGTATAATTAAAAGCAAGACGCAAATGGTTTTTCAATGATGAAACATCCCCTTCTGTACGGAAAAGCGGGTTTCAAAACGCCACTCTGAATATCGCTGAAGGTATGCAACAATCTATACATTCCGTGTTTACTCGTTGTCATGGAAACGGAGGCACACTACACACTACATTGGCCATAACAGAACACTGATAACACAATCTAATATCGTTTATCACTATCGAATATCGAGTGCCCATTGTCGAATAATTCGATTGTTACAGACCACGGATCATAAGTTATGCCGGTTAGCCGCGTCAGTGGGTAAACCGCAGTTGAATAATTGGCGGTGACCGGTCGCGACAGACTCGGCAGGCGCGTCGCGTCAGTGGGATATGTACCATACACACTAATCCGACTAACGGACACGCGCGACAAAGAGCGGCTAGCCGCTCGCGACTAGTCGCGTCAGTGGGTAATCAGCATAAGACTGTCCCAGGAGGCCCAGGAGGTACTGGCTGTTATGTTAAAGCTAGTTTCGGCAAACTACATCAGTCGCTGTAACATTGTGACCTCTGTCAACACGGTCAACACTGTCATAGCGGTCATGGCTGACATCGCTGATTTTTCTCTGGAAGAGTTTTTTTTTTGTATTCATTTTTACTATTCGCTATGATCCGTGAATTATAATCCTAACAATCTAACAACAGGATGCATGAAATGAAAATTAACACTTAATTCGATAAAGATAATCATCTATATAATAAGTATTCAGTATTCTGAATCATTAGATAGCGATGATCAATAAGGCAACATAATGAAACTACGCCAACTGTTATGTTACAAACGGATTTGGCAAGCTACAACGGACGTTGGCTAGCTTGTAGCCCCTCTGAAGCTTAAGATTGTCATGGCTGACAGTACGGAGCTATTGTTTTTCGACACGTTTTCACATGAAAGTTCAGAGGCAAGTGGATTGTGTGACATCGTTTATGCTTCAGAACTGCAGCCTATGGAATTTAACATAGTTATTAATAAGTGTTACGCTTTATGTCGTAGGTTTTGATAAGTTAAAGGAATTCGTAATGATCCCGGTTGACGGCGTTGGCGGTAATGGTGCTATATCTCTTACTGAGTCTAAAAAAAAATAAGTATATGGAGATATGCACCAGATAAGCTGAATTGTTATCATTACGCCTTGATATTTTAATGTACTTGCTTTGTTTTGTATTGTATTTGTTGAACAATTCTTGAAGTACTTTATGTTATTTACGTTCTGTAGAAATTGTATCCGGTTGTGGTTAATATGCAGTCTGAACCAGAAGCAAACACTGAATTGCCCCATCTTTTGCAGGAACTTAATTTAGACCTTGTACAATTCCCAAAACCTGTATTCATTAGTGAAGTTCGAATAATTCCATTGGGAGCTCGCGTACAGGCCGATTTTCCAGGTGGAGTTCGTCTTGGGTGAGTTTTCTGTGACCAGTCATAAACTAATTCTGCCTTCATGTTGTGTAGAAAAAATCCTTTGCATTTGTTATTACATCAGTGCACAGAAGCAAAAGGTTATGCAGTAAACTGTTTTATAGGACAACATTGTTTGTTTTAAACCTGAAGATCAGAATGTCTTTTTGACAAATTATGTTCAGTTCCAATTTCTTGTGGGTGAAGTATTACTCATGCAGACACAACATTTATATGAGTTTTTATTTTGAAATATATCGTTGGCATATTTGTTAAAACTTCTGTTGTTTCTGAACTTTCATGTTCAAATATTTCTTCTTCTTTTTTTTCCAGAGCAACGAATCCATCACAGTTTGATATAGAATTCTTTGTAAATGATCTGAGCAAACCTGGAGCTTCTACATTTGAAAGTCTTGGAGGATTAGAATATAAGCAGAATGTTAATATTCAATTGGAATGTGATCGAAGGGTGAGTATTATATCATCTAATTGAGCATAATTATAGTATAATTATCTTTTTGGAAATTGACAATTATAGCAGAACCCACATCGAATTCCATTGTGTGGCTGACTTTGTGTTTAATTTCAGTAATCTTGCATGCCATCTAGATGGAGAACATTGGAACTGCTTAAAGGCCGTAGTATTCTTGATGCTATGAATAAAATGATTTTTATCTGTAGGTAAAGTGTAATGTTATTCCTGGGCTTAATTAATTAGTTAAATCACCGCAAAGACATGCATGAGTGCAGATATAGCTCCACCATTCTTAACCTCAGCATTAGATCAAAGTGTGATCAGATCTGTGCCCTTGCCACTTTCCCCACAAAGAAGCAGGCCCCCGTACCCATTGTATAGGAGAATGTGTGAGCCACAGAGCCAGTTTGAACATTATGGAAAACAGAAATATCTTGGGAGTCAAACCCCAATTCCTCAGTCATCCAGTCAGTCACTTTACCAACTATACCGACGGTAACTTTAAATGTAAACCTAACATACACCATCTTAGGATGAAATGGTGTTTGTTATAAGTTGTTTATGTAGGAGATGTTCTGTGTTACATCAATTTTTATCCATTGACAGATTCCCACAGATGGATTGGTTTTACGTGGTTGGTATACCACAATTACATTGGCTGTGTATGGGGTCCTCACCAAGTCTGTACAGGAAGCTCCTCCACCTCCTCCCCAGGGGTTGATAACCCATACGGTGCCACCACCAGTCCCCTGTCCAGCAGACCCCAGAGTGACAGACCCGATTGTCACTAGTGCACCTGCTGGTGATTGGGTTCAGCAGCATGCGCAGGTATGTTGAAGTGGGTTTCATAAACACAGACACACTCAGTCTGCAGCCACCTGCTCACACTGTTTCCTCACTTGTGGATTTTTCTACCCTGAAAATGGAGGTGATACGTTCCTCTGGAACATTGGTTTACAGGAGTTCTACACAGTGCCAGATCCCAGAAGACAGCATCCTTCATAGTCACCACTGTGAAAACCTCAAATCTTACAGACACACAGTTTTCTCCATGCTTAATCGAGTTCCACACCAAGGTGTGCGAGAGTGAGCGTATAGCTTCACGCATTAAATGGGGGTGGATGGGTAACTTTCGAATACTGACTTAGCCACTGTAAGTTTGTGTTGTTAGTTTCATACTTATTTAATCTGTTGCAGTCCAATTTTTTTTTTTTTTGCGTGTAATCCCACAATGTCCTGATATCTTTTGGGAAAAAAATTGCACAGCAGAATTTTGTCTGCAAGTAGTCAAAAATAATTTTCAGGCCTGTCCTGTATTCAGTAGTATTTACTAGTTTTGTCATGTGATGCAGGAAACTAATACCATCTTCCATACTTATCTAACATATTTCTATCCCTTAAAATGTGTTTTATTTATAATATCTTTTTGGAATCTTCTTTCTCTTCAGAAATTCAGCTTGAAAATAGTGCAGGGAATGTATGAACAGTTTGAGCATTGACTACTGAACAGCTTATGTTTGTGCAGGTTGCTTTGATTCAGTTCAGTTTTAAAACAGGTAATAATTTCTTATGTAGTTTTTAAGTTGCAGATTTGGTAAGAATAGAACTGGGATTTTGGTCTTGTTTTAGGTAGCAGACTTGGCTCCATCAGTGGACCGTGGTTATATGGTGGAGACCACAATACCAGATCCATACAATAATAATTACTCTGGAGAATATCATCCACCACCTCCAGAATATCCTGCCCATTCATATCGAGAAGAATGGCCACAGCAGCCTCGGGTATTTACTTCTATACTGAAACTACAGAGTAGTTTGTTGTATGTTGTTCAAGACATCTGAAATATTCTGTTTAACTTCAGGCTGTGCTACATGGTCCAGGAGAATCATACGAGGCTCCGAAAGATCCTCGACCAATGCCGCCATACGAGGAGGAACGTTTGCCTTGGGAGAGTGGTGGAAGTGTGGAGGAGAAGTTACCTTGGGAACGAGATCGAACTAAGGACCGAGAGCGTGATAGAGAGAGAGAACGTGATAGGGACAGGGAAAGAGAGCGTGACCGACGCGATAGGGACAGGGGTCGTGATAGGGAACGTGATAGGGATAGAGACAGAGACAGCTATCGGGACAGAAGCAGGGACAGAGACCGGAGCCGAGACCGAGATACTGACAGGGATTGGGAGGATAGGTCCCGGAGAGAAGATAGGGAGCGTGAGAGAGACCGGGAGCGAGATAGAGAGCGGGAAAGGAGTAGTAGCAGTGCACGTGAATATCAGGAAGTGTCTCGTGGGGGAAGTGGTAGTGGGGGTGGTGGTGCTGGGTGGGGTGGAGCACGCAGGGAACATACCTCCCTGTCAGTGGAACGGCTGCCATGGACAGACAGGGGTGAACACCCGCAGTCCAAAGGCCCCCCGTTGCTGCCGATACCTCCAGAACATGTGGTTCCACCACCTCACCATCACCCCCACCATCATCACGAAGGCCCAGGTCCAGGAAATCTGCACAGGATTCCCTCGCACATGCACCCTCATCCTCCTCCGGGACCATCGCATCATCATGAGATGGCGAGGCCACATTCGCGAGGAGAACGCAAACCACGTGATGGCTCATGGGAGCGGAGCCAGGGCCCACCATCTGGGCCACAGGGATCATTGCTTCATCAGAATCAAGAGCAACCCTGGGAACTTGGCCTTGGTCACGAGATGTCTCAGGAACGTGACGAGGTGATGTCAGGCAGGAAGAGGCCACGATCACCTCCTTCACAGCCCTCGCCTGCATCTGGCATAGCACTGCGTTCTCCCAAGAGGCCTCACACGCCTCCCCCACAACAGCCACCAGGTGGCCCCATCACACCCGAAGATATGCTCCCTCAGCAGCAGATGGCACCAAGATGGCCATCTTCAGCTTCACCAAGCAGAAGTGAGGCCACCAAAGTGAAGAAAGGTACATTCTTTGTTGTTGACTTGATCGTCAGTGTCTTTGACTCAGACAGAGGCCCAATGTTGTGTCTTCGAGTTGCGGGCAGGAGACTCTCGTCTCAGTGGCTTCATGTGCCTGACGACCGTCCATGTGCCTGGATTAAGACTCATAGACACAGACATAGAGACAGAGGCAGATAGGGTTGGCCTCCACATTCAGGTATTTGTCTAACATTGGTGAATTTGTGCATACATACATGCTTCTGGCCAGATGGCACATCTTAAACGGTTGTTCTGGGAGGCCCTTCCCACGAACAAAGATTACTGCCTGGCCCCTCTATTCATTTAAGGTGCTTATTATTATAAAAGGTTAATCAGTTCCGTCCAGTGCGACTGATAAAATGTTTTTTCCTTTTTGATCTTTTTAATCTTTCATCCTTGACATGTTTTGGTCTTAGAGATCATTGTCAGAAAAATATGTCAGTACAGGCAGAAACTACTATCACAATGTGATTGGTCGATAGCAATACATACATACAATATCGTCACAATGCCATGAATGTATTACATTGATATTAACCAGACACAATGTATTGATATATCCTTCTGAAGATGGTCTCTGAGACCAAAACATGTCAAGGATGAAAGATTAAAAAGATCAAAAAGGAAAAAAAAAACATTTTATCAGTCGCATTGGACAGAGTTGATTAACCTTTTATAATAATTGCTAGCGTGACGGACCAGGATGAACCAAATCAAATGATGATCATCTCTTACTAGATAATTAGTCATAAGAAAGTAAGAGTTTTGGTAGTGATTTCTGAGATTGGAGATGAACTAAGAAAACACTGGATATGTACACTGGTTGCTATGAAAAGTTCTGTCTTCTGAGTTGTAACGCAGTGTATTCTGTTGAAAGTCAACCAACATTTCAGAGGCGCACATCACATCCATCTTCAGGTTCGAAGAAGAAGCCAGGTACTGTTTGCCTCCTCCTTTCACACTTGTTTCATGCTTGGCTTATTCTTCAACCCTGAAAATGGAGGCTACATGTTCCTCTGAAACGTAGGTTGACTTTCAGTTAAGTAATGCCGTTGGATTTGAGGTTCTCACTGTGATAACTGTAAAGAGTACAGTCTCCTCGGCTATAATGTTTCATAGTTCGGAGAAAGCCTGGTATATTAGAGGACCATAGTCTCTGTCATCACGGTTACAGAATAAGCCATGCAAGAAACCACTTGAGCTTGCCTCCTGTTTTTTTGGTGGTTTCTTGCTCGGCTGACTTACAGTTCACCTCTGAAGATGGAGACAATTCATTCCTTCAAAATATTGGTCTGTCTCCAAACTACACATTGTTACAACCCAGAAGGCTATACTCTTCAGAGTTGTTCTTAATATTTTTCTTCTGGCAGTCATTATTCTGCCGATCACAGTGGCCACACGGTGTAAGGCATAAACCGTCCTTGCCAGGTCAGACACTGGGATCATGGGTTCAAATCCCACAAAGTATGGATGTACGTCTGTGTATATTCTCTGTTTGTGTAGGTACCTTCCTTGGAATGGGCTGATTCCCGGTCCACGAAGTCCTACCAACTGCCTTGAGATTGAGAAACTCAAGTGAAACAAAGGGTTTCACGGATGCCTTATGCTCCCTCTGGAGCAACAGGAAAAAGAATCATTCTGGTGTTTTCATATACAGAACCGTAGAATTTGCTACCAAAAACTCTTTAGATATAGTGATACAATCCAGGAATGGATTGAAGCATTTTAAGATATTGTCTAGGAGTATAAGTTGTTCCCAAGGAAGGAGGTTACAGATACAGTTTGAATGCTGTTCAGTCATAGAGTGTGTTTGATTTGTGTGACTGAACGCTCGTTTGTGCAGTCACAGTGGAGCCACAGTGTTATCGTGTGGTTGTAATTATTTGGGAGATGTGATAGCTTAGTTTAATTTTGCATGTACTTCCACTGTAATTTCAGTGGAAAGTTATATTTTGGGGTTTCTAAAATATGCACTTATATTCATAGAAATATGGTGTTTCTTTGCTTATGTGCAATGTATCAATGGAGCATCACGTTGGAAGCGGTGCAACAATGAAATTAAATGGTGTCATATATATCTGATGGCTGAACTCGTAGTTCAGTGATATGGCAAGATTTTGCAACTGATGCTTATCTGTGTGGTGAAATGCAACATGTGGTGAGGACAGTGCAGTGTCCGATGTTCACTTCGTGCCTTTATGAGTTCAATTAATCATTAGAGTTGTATTTGGTTTACTGTCTGTTTATTTTTCTAAGATTCGTAAAGTTGCAAGAAAACGTCAGGTTTTTTCTGAAGTGCTTCGTGGTGTTAGTCTGTGGGATTCGTCCCACTAGTGGCGACCACTGTATCGGTATCAAGCGCAAATATATACCAGTTTTAACAAAAATAGTGAAGGCAATCGCTGAGAATCCGTGCATTTAATGTGTTAATAGCCATCGGTTTCAACTTTCAAGTTCTGTGTCTTATTTTTTTTTTCAAAGTGTCATAGGCTGCTTATAATTGGTGTTCTGAAGTGAAAATTGGTTTACTTGAAGGGGAGGAATTAGTCTTGAAAAATTTACAGGCACTAGTTGAAATGTTCTGGTGAAGAAGTGGAAGGATACGCTGAGGGCAGTACAAACGATTAGGATTAAATTAGAGTTAGGATTTGTAGTTAGGCCAAAAGGTTACGCTGGTCCCATTGCAGAAGTGAGTTCGCCTACGCCATCATCCGGTGCTCAGCAGAAGTTTGAGTCTCTTTCGCCCGGTGACGTCGAGTCCATCTCAGAAGGCGAGATCCCGGAGACAGAGGCAGATTTGGAGGGAGAGTCTCTTCCACTAGTGAAGAATGAGACTTCCGAATTGATGGAACCTGACAAGAATACTGGAGAAAATGCAGGAGCCTCAGAAGAGGTTTTGTCAGCCAGTGATCCAACAGTTAAGTTGGAGCAAGCTGAGGGTGAGATAACCCCCACCAGGCCAGGATCTGTGGAGCGAAAGACTCAGCCATCTGCCACACCCTCCCTTCCTAACTCTGTCCCAATAGCTGGTTCTCCCATTAAGATTTCTGCTGTGTCTAGTCCAAGTAATATCACTCATGGCCTACCATCTACACCTCCGCCTGCTACAGTGAGCAATGTGGCAACGCCTGCTGGCTCACCTATCCTTCCAGATGAGCCTGGTATAATGGTTGTGGAACCATATGAACCCATCCTCAGCGATGAAGATATTGATGAAACAGATGCACAGGTAAGATATTGCATACAGTTTGTTTTATAGCTTGTTTTTAGTAAAGGTTTTTTTGTGTGTATTAACCTTTATCGGATGAACGTCATCATATGATGTCGTTAAAAGTAAGGGCAGCTGGCCGAACGTCATCATATGATATCGCGGATTCCACGCGTGTAAGGTTTTTTTTTTTAATATTATATTCAAAATATAAATTGTTGTTCTATTTACATGATTTTTGGTCACCACCTTTATAAGGAGACAGCCTTCCTTCCTGCATGATCTAATGTAATCTAGCGACATCATATGACGTTAAAAGTAAGGACAAATTGAAGAACGACATCATATGATGTCGCGCATTCCACGCGTGTGAAGATTTTTTTAAAATTAAATTTAAAATATAAATTGTTGTTCTATTTACATGATTTTTGGTCACCACCTTTATAAGGAGACAGCCTTCCTTCCTGCATGATCTAATGTAATCTAGCGACGTCATATGACATTAAAAGTAAGGACAAATTGAAGAACGACATCATATGATGTCGCGCATTCCACGCGTGTAAAGATTTTTTTAAAATTAAATTTAAAATATAAATTGTTGTTCTATTTACATGATTTTTGGTCACAACCTTTATAAGGTGACAGCCTTCCCTCCTGCGTGATCTAATGTAATCTACCGACGTCATATGGCCGAACGACCTCATATGATTTCGCACATTGTACGCGTGTAAAGATTTTTTTAAAATTAAATTTAAAATTAAATTTTTGCTCTACTTACGTAATATATGTTCACCATCTTCATGAGGAAACAGCCTTCCCTCCTGCGTCATCTATGGTAATGTGGCCTTCGTATGATACTGCCGAAAACATTCCGAAATGCAGAGTCCGACGTCGCAGCTCACGCACTTCGTACGAACGCTAGACCGCTTCCCACGCGAAAAGCACACACGACACCTCAGTTGCGATTTGGAGGAAGCAGGCCAGTGATATCAAGCTGCAAGTGATATTTATCCCCGCAGCTACACCGGCATAATTATTCACATCTCTCCAGCCACACTGGTCTGGCAGTCCCCAAGTTGATGACGAAGGTGATGACCCTTCGTCCGCGGAATCAGAACTCCTACTTTCATCGCCCCTTTCTTGGTTGAATAGCAGTCCGAATCTGTGTCACTGAACAGCTGTTTTTCACTTTCAGCATCTTCCATACGACGTCGTCGTGTATACGGCTCTCTAGCAGTGAATCTCTGTGCGTAGACCACGATAAGAAGCTATAAATCTTAACCTCGAGCCCACACATACAAAAATCTCATTCACGACTTCGCTGAACCCAATATCTACCTCATGATGTCATGGGTGGCTAAACTTATATTGCGATGTTTCAAAATCGTTACAAACACAATGGTTTGACTGCAATGAATGAACGAATGACCGATCTGGCAACACCATATTCTGAGAATGTAATCATGTGTATTTCTAACAGCGAACGAATTTCAGACGCCCACAGTCTCTGCATACCGTCATGTACCATACGATAAATAAGCTTCAACAAGCGATAGTATTGTATGAGGTCGCGACAAGGACACTTACACTGCTAAAACGCATGGTGCAGAAAATGTATTACACTGCTAGAACGCATGGTGCAGAAAATGTATGAATTTCGGGATTTTTTTTTTTTGGGAATCAGTGTAAAAAATTTTTACAGATATTAAAATCTGTAAATTAGAATATCTGATTCTATATTCTTTCTACATTAAAGGAGTGTTCATTTCGTTCGTTTATCATAAAAAATGTAGAAATTACACCATTTTTAGAAACATGCTTACAATTCCATTGCCCTAGAAGGGCGGGCATTTAAATAAACTCCGTCCAGCTGCCCCTACCGGAAATTAAATGGCCCGTCCGATAAAGGTTAAACTCTTCCTCATAACTATACTAGCCTGAAAAAATGCAATAAGGACTTGTTACTTTCTGAAATATGTATCGCAGAACACATGTAAATATGTGGTAATTTCTTAAACATCACTCTTTTTACATGTCTCTTCCCTTTTTTGTTTGCAAGAAAGTAAATATCAAGGCATAATTAATGCACATTCCCCAAATGTTTGTGATCTTTGGTCAAGACACAAGGATTTATTAATGAGGTTCGTCATGGAAAGTGTCACTGATAACTGAAATTAAAGTTATGTCGTGTTATGTATGTAAGAATGGATTGCATGAAATGTATATTGCAAATACATTCATGTAAGCACAGTACATAAGAAAATATGCGGACAGAAAACTATATCTTTCATATTTGATGTTCTCTTGATGAGTAATATTAAGATTACAGTCTTCTGAGACATGATGGCATGTAGCTTATTGATTTCTTCTCTCTTTACATCCTTCCAAAACAGCCCTTTTAAGGGGGGGCTGATTCCCTATGGCTTGCCCATAGCCATGGATTCAGCCCTACCTACACTTTATCCATACCAGTTTTGTCCTGCTTGTTTTGCTGTTTTTCCCAGAAGGTGTAGGGAACAGGTGCATTTGAAATGTTTATATCCATCTACAAATCTACACTGCCTCACATTTCAGGGGATTATAATCCTTGTAAACATTTAAGGAGACTGTTTTTTGTTAAATTGTTGTTTTTCTTTTCAATTTTTTCATTGCTGGGATCTGTTAAATCCAAGCTCCATTATATGCAGTTTTTATTGTACAAGTCTGTGATTTCTGGTTCTATATAAATAATCATCATCTTTACATTTTCAGTTCCAAGACATGGATTATGACTTTTCAGAATATTGTGATGACCACCTGAGCAAAAGTTTCAATCCCTTTACGTGTGAACTTCAGCCATTAGTTGTAAGTAGAGTGAACATAACTTGTTTCTTGTGCAATTTAATTATTGAGGTTGTCGTTTCTGTATATTGTGTCTAGCTTTTGAGGCATTATGAAGAAATTTGTCATGACTTGCTTTCTGTCAGTAATGAGACGTATTACAGCAGTTCGTTTCTAAATCTGCTTTATCATTGACTGCATTTTGTTTGGTTTATGCAGGGTGTTTTGGTTTGAAGAAGAAAGTGGCATTGATCTGGTATTATTATGAGGGTATTTTCTTCGAACAGTTTTCATTGTGTGGGTAAAAAATATGTGCCTTTTAATTTGCCTTCAAGTCAAAGTAAAGGGTACCAGCTCTTTGGATCTGTTAGAGTAAAGTGCCCTTGTCTTCAAAGGAAAAGGAAAGTGTAATAAGTCCTCTTTTAACATCATGGTTACGCTCTTGTAAATCCTGATGTTGTGTATAACAGTGTAAAGCGGATCAATTTTTTCCATAAGAAAGTTAAGGTTATGTTCCTCAGCCTTTCTCACCCCCGTAACATGCATTACAACATAGACAATATGAATGTGATTGTAAATATTTGTATACTTCTGGCTTTAAATGCATGCAGTTGTAAACTACAATGTTTATTTAGCACGATATACTGTTTTCACAAAATATGCAATAGTATTCTCACTTAGCAGAAACTTAAGTGCCAGTTTTACTGCTCCATGCCAACTTCATTATGATGCACAGTCATTAGCAACATCTGAACAGTGATGTAACAAGAAGTTAACTCAGTATTGTATGGGGCTTTAATATGAAAATAGTATTAACATGATAACGAAACATTATCTGGGACAACACTGACGGAGGACTCCCTGTACCTACTTTGTGGGGCATGTTTATAAAAGTAGTCCTTATCACTGTTTTTAGTTTGTCTTCAAGTAGAAGGAAACTTCACTGCTCTGTGGTGTCAGACTGATAAAGTTAGTCCTGTCACAAAGTACTTAGAGCAGGTGCAGGCCGTATGCACAAAGAAAGTGTGATCCCTCCGTTGAAGTGTGTACATTTCTTGTGAGTACACAGTTTTCTTGTAATTTGCTTCAGGTATTTGTGGAAGAACTAAATAGTCCCACAGATTAGCTACACCCTCTACCCATGGAATGGTGTCTTATGTTGGTGCCTATTTATTCAGATAATTGGCATTGTCTAAAGGGAATGTTTTTATTATATGACAAGTGTCTAAAGGGAATGTTTTTATTATATGACAAGCTATATTTATTCTTCGCTGTGTGCATATGGGTTTTAACATATGTAAGTTAAAATAGTAAAATTCAGTTTATGTCATCATCATTGGCGAAACAGCCCTTTTTGAGTCATAGCCTTCCTAAAAAATTCTGCCTGACTTGTCTGTGCTGTCATGATTTAGACTGTCTGCTTTTCACTTCTTTTGATATCGCAACAGTACTTTTGTTACAGAGCAAGGTCAGGGGCACACTGTAGTATAGTTGGTTGAGGCACTATGCTACAAGCTGGAAGGTCACGGGCTCGTTTCCCAACGAGGCCACTGGATTTTTCAATTGACCTAATCCTCCCAGCCGCACTATGGCCCTGGGTTGACTCAGCTTCTAACAGAAATGAGTACCAGGAATTTTCCTGGGGTAAAGGTTAGCCAGCATGTAAGGCTGACAGCCTCACCATTATCTTTGAGCTGATTGTCTAGAAATGTGGGAGCCTCAACGTTTACAGAGCAAGGTGATCAACCTTGCATCCAACCCCCAATATACAGGACCGGGTCTCTATATTTATGTCCCACCATGACAGTGTGACCCGGTTATGCCCCCAGGCACTTGGTTCCCTCTTTATCACCTCCAACTTGCAGGGCTGTAGCGGAGGTAGTCTCATCAACCTCCACATGGGGTCCACATGATAGTCAAAAACACATCCCAGCATACCAATACAGCAATAATAAAAGTACACCAAGAAAATAATAATAATGCCAAAGATTATTTAATTACACCTTGGCTGTACTCTGTTTTGGGTACCTTGGCCATCTTTATGACAGCTTGTCGTTCTTCTCTGTTTGCCTTTTGCCTCTATCTCTTTGCTTTTAGCTCCCATATACATACTTTACATCTTCCAGCCATCTGTTTGCATCCTCCAACTTTTATTTTACAGTGCATAACATTTAGGCTTCTAAAAGCAGCAAGAAGGAAATGGTACCAAAGAACGGAGGAATATAATCCAGTGTGAGTGGATAAAATTTGATGCAGTTATATCATATAAACACAGACTAGGTATAGACAAGATTTATATTTGTACATTGATATTATATTATTGTACTACAATTGTAACACGGGATAACTAAATCATGAATTCAGCTATAGAATAAACAAGTACTTGCATTAATGATTGGTGCGAAGTTTTTATATCTTTATATGTGCAATAGTCTAGTGATGGGACACAAGTTCCAAAAAATGCTACCATTTTATCTTACAGTTGTTGAAAAACCTGCATCGATGTATACAGAATTTGAGGTTCTTGCAACAGTGGTTACAAAGAGTTTTATCTTCTGGGATATAACACCATATAGTCTTTTTGAAAGTCAGCTGACGTTTCAGGGTCAAAGAATATGCCAAGCAAAAACCAGCGTGAAAGGAAGTGGCAAGCATAGATCTGCTTGCTCAAGGTGACATGTTCCTCTGAAATGTCGGTTGACTCTGAACAGACTACGCAGCGTTGTTGCCAGAATGTAGAACTCTGCGTTGATATGGGCTGTGAAGAATATATATTGGTTTTTATTATGGTAATACTGAAATCAGAGTGGTCTTGTGACTACTGTTATCAACACTGATTGCAGTGTATTTGACTTTTCAGTACCTGATGGATCCTAGTTTGTCTCCTTGTGAAGTGGTGACAAAACGATTGCTTAGGTTGCGAGCTGAGGGATGCCTTAAGCCCACAATGGAGACACCAAATGAGGCTGTGAGGTTAGAAGAGCTTGTGCTACAGCAGGGGAAGTCTGTAACTGTTCAGGCTAGAGATACATGTTCAGGGGAACCACAGGTTCATGAAGACTGGGTGCATTTTGCTGAGCAGGTTCCCTCCCTGCTGATTAAAGCATTGCCATATGTCTATAATAAGGAAGGTACGAAGTACATCTAATTTGAAGTCGTACAGGCATGTTACTGCTAACCTTTTTTGCCCATTTGTTGGTGTTGTGATGCACTTGTTTGCCGGTTATGTTTAAACCTGTTTGACGGGTAAAAACTATTATTTTGTTCTCTGTCCATTTCTCTGAGTTTATTAAAAACGTTGTGTTTTGAAAATTGGTTCTTTTTCTATATTCATATGATTTGAGAGGAGTTATACTGAGTTTTATGGAGTGGGTTTTCTTTGATCTCTCCTTCACCAAACGACAGAAATGAACGAATTTCTATAATGTATCGTGATTTTAATTAACTCGGACAATGAAAAGGGTCCAAAATATTAGTTTTAACAATAGTTTGTTAGTGTTTTGGAGCACTTGGATGTCACCATCTTCAGTACTCTTCAAGCTGTGTCCCAGCTCAGGAATTTAGTCTCTACCTTCTCATGTCGGAGGGATGGGTTTAATCCCAGGATAGTCTGTATGGTTTTTGTGGTGGACAGAAAGGCACTGGTACAGTTTTTCTTCAGGTGCTTTACTTTTCCCCTGCCAGTTATTCCACCATTGCCCCATAATATACATTTATGTAAAGAATAGTTAGTACAGTATTTCCCTTTGAGGTTGCAGTACCAAGGGATGCAAGTCTTGCCCCACTCGTACAGTTGGGATACAAGTTCTAGGTAGAACTCTGTTAGATCCTACTACACCTACTAACAGTCCTACAAATCCTGTGTTATTAATACCATATGTACTTTCCTACCTACCACTCCCTTGGCCTCCTCTACAACCAATCTCCACCACCAGTGTGTGCTGCCATAGGAATGGACCCACATGTGATCACCTGAGGTTGGTTGTTAGCTTTCTGAACAAAATTCTTTTTACAGGATGAGGTTGTTAGCCTCATGCCCAACCCCCAACCTGGAGGACCAGGGTATCTCTCTTATTCTGGATTCTACCCTTTGACCTTTCCAGCATGGGTGACCCTACTGGTAGTTAAACTACTGCCAGCATAGCTCTCCAAGTCGCAGAGTCATGCAAATCCCACCCCCATGACAAGGTGGAGACACCTTTGGGGGGTAATACCATATGTAGGTAGTGTCAATTCTGTTCCATCAATGAAAATCAGTTTAGCACATTGCCATCATGTTGGATTCCTGTGTAGATAATCATTAGATTNCATGCAAATCCCACCCCCATGACAAGGTGGAGACACCTTTGGGGGGGTAATACCATATGTAGGTAGTGTAAATTCTGTTCTATCAATGAAAATCAGTTTAGCCCATTGCCATCATGTTGGATTCCTGTGTAGATAATCATTAGATCAAATTCTGGTCAAGTAAACTTCTTGTTGCTTGCATTATAAATATTTGTTTTTGTTATTAAAGTTTGTTTTATTTTTATTTTTGGAAGAACATAATACCAAGATATAGATTTTGTATATGTCCAGTTTGATAGGCATCACCTCAAAATTTTGCATCATCAGCATGTTTGTAATTTTAGACTTATAAAAACATTTCATGTGTATGTTTATAGTACCAGATGTCACCTAGTTTCATTAATGCATGAGTCAAACTGAAAGCAAAGTATACCATTCACACAGTTGCAATTCTGTTGTTTGCGTTCAACAAAAATATTGCTTTACAACGGTTGTGATATTCTTTTGAAGATCTGTCATCATACATTACTTCAGAAATCTAGATTAATTGGTGTTAGTAGCAGTCCTGTCTCACAAATCTGTGCTTTTCCAATTGTAGAATTAAGAAGTATGACGAGGTGGCCTCTAATGGTGTAGTGTCCATACCATCTACATATATAGGAGAAGGTTTCTGCTAATTAAGAAAAGTTGCAGTGCTGTAAGATTTAGCATGTGTAGGAAGAAAACTGTGGCATACGTATTGACCCTTTTCAAGTCCAGTTTTGATGTAATTTTTACTCTGGCTTTAACTTGTTCTCAGAACAAACCATATAAATGATATTCTAATTAAAAATGCCGGTCACTGAGTAAGTTGTCTCAAGCGGTAATATTTCTGATTTGTGTTCAGGAGGTGATGGTTCAAGCCTCATTTTGGACATCTGTTGTCATTGCTGAGGTTTCAAATGATTTTGCTTTTAGACCATCAAGACAAATTCTTTGCTAGTACCTTCAGCCATCCATGACTGCTTCCTTCCAGATCCTTTCCAGTTAATCATCCAATCATTTAAGTGGAGTGGCATAGTGTGAGGTACAGGCAGTGTTTTTTAAATAAATTACAGATAAAATGAAAATGTTCGTCTCTTTTCAGGCATGATTATGAACAGTGATGACTGATACAGTTGAAACATGTCACAATATGCTATATATTTTGAGGGAAATCCAGTACTGTCCTGTCTAGACCTTAATGCTCCAGATGTTATCAACCAGAATTTTGTGTCTATTTCTAGTTTATGTCCCACTTATGTCTTTTGAACTAACTTTTAATAAAGATTCCTTATTGTATCTTTTCAGATATTATACAGACATTATTCAAATGGGTAGAAATTGGATTGGACTTTAGCCTGGCACTGAGTCAACCACAGCCAGGTTACAAAGTGCGACACATCAAAGCAGGAGTTCGCTTGGTTGAAGCCCTGTGCCACTGTGGTGAAGCTGTCACGGAACAATTGTTAGATGCTCAAGATATCCATTCTAAACTCCTGGACTTGTACCACAAAGACTACATGGCTCTGTCCATCAAGCTGATGATTTTGCGTGCATTGGATTCGAGTCTTAGTTGCCAGCAGGCCTTACAACATTTTCTAGGACATAGGACTAGAGGTCATAAGTTAACCCAAAATAGAAATTGCTTCATTAAAGTGAAAGACGATCCTGCGAAGGAAATAGAAGGAAGTACGAGTGGTTACCGGACGTTGATTAAAATGATTCAGGGCCATCAGCTGGCAAGAGTGAAGTTTGCAATCAGCTGTTTACTTCGAAAGTTACATGTGTATGAAGTATTAGAAAGATTGAGAGAAAGCGTAGGACAACTGATAGACGCTAGTCCACCTCCTGGCATAGCTAGCCCTGAAGATGAACGGCAGAGGTTATCGGATACCAGCCCAGAACCAATCCCTGCAGTTGTGGAAGTGTCAGATCAAGAGGTAGAAACAATTGTGTCTTGTTTGGAAGAGATCCTTCGTGTGTGTAGGGAAGCGCCATTAGCCATATCTCAGCCAAAGCGTTTCCTGCCAGTTTGTGCTCAGTTTGAAATCAGTCCCTGTTCACAGGACCCATACCCTGCACTATTTTCTTTCTTCCGCTGTCATCGTCTGTTGGAAGTATGTCTTGTGCTACTGTCTTGCCCTACCACAGCAGGCTATTCAGTAATCACTGTTCCTGTACAAGAAATTCTAGCTGCTTTGTTGGATTCTCAGGAAGGAATGCAGTTCTTGGCCTCAAATGTGGATATCACAGGTGCAATTCTAAGAGTACTATTGCAGCAAGCACCTCCTGTGTCACCTGGTCCCCCAGAAGAGGTGCTGGACGAAAGTGCGGTGTCTGCCCCTCCAGCCCAGCAACTTGGTCTATACGTGGCTTACCGACTTCAGGCGTTGCAGTATATTGATGCACTTTTAGACTTAAGTGCTAGTGATCCATCATTTCTGGACCCAGATCAGACAGAAGTTCTGGACTGTCTGAACAGTTTGTATTGTTTGGGCTTTTCTCCGGTTGGGAAGCTTTCCTTAGTTCATGTTTTGAGCCGTGGAGACAATATAAGAGTTCTTTTGCGATTTTTTACCGAAGACAATTCCCAAGAACAGCCACAAACTCAAGCTCTGAAGTATGACATTGGTGATTCAAAGATAAAGAAATCTCCAGGGAAAAGTTATTCAGCAGATCTCATTGTGATGACAGTGAAGTACTCTGATTACGTCCCTTTCCTGCAGAAATTTGGTAAAGAAATACTTGAAGCTGCCTTAAGGGACGAGCAGCAGTTACCACCGTGTAGGTTGTATGAAATAGTGTCATGGTTAAAACCTGTCGAAAACCCTTCTTTGTTTGCATACGATGATATAGGGATGCTTAGTGAAATAATTAAGAGGAATGTTGAAATTGCTACTACTTTGCCAGGTGAACTTATCATTGCAGTTAGAATTTTGAAGTTCTTGGGAATTCCCCTCAGAGATAAAGACTTGGCTGCGGTACACGAGGCAGTAGATGCAGAAGAGTACGTCGAACTAAAGTATAAGTACGTAATACTGCAACTGTTCTCTCAGGAAGGTGTCACAAATCTAACTGCCATCCTGCAGAGACTGTGTGAATTTTATGAGCAGCCCATGTTACATTCAACGAGTTTTGTCGGTTATCAAGGTGCAATGCTTGTATCGTTCATCTTGCCAGCAATTCAGCTGGTCCGCCGGATGCTGACGTACGTCATTCACTGCCGTAACACAGAATTTAAGGACCTAAGTTCTGTACCTGTACTGCTGCAGACATATAGTTTGATGCATGCGTTTCCTGCTTCGGCCCTCGCTTATGTGGACTCGCAACGTGTTTGTCGTGAAATCATAGAGACACTGCTGGCTTACACGCAGCCCATATCCTCAACCCCATCATCAGAAACAGAAGCTCTGAACAAAAGCTTGTGGACGATGATGATGTCGGAAGTTGTGAAGTTTGTGACTACTGGACCGTACACATTTGTACCCGGTTTGCTTGTTCTGTCTGAGCTCCTTCCATTGCCTTTACCTGTTCAAACAAGGACACCTCTCCCAGAGAATGAAATCCTGCGGGCAGTGAACGGACGTAAACTGTGGAGTGCACATCTACATTCGTTAGGATCAGGACTTCAGGAACTTATCGCAACAATGAGTGGCAGCAGTTTCCAGCCCTTGCTTCAGTTATTGAGACGTGTGTGCGTGCAGTTGGCAGACCTCGCTGCTCCCACAGCGCTCATTGTGAGTCGAGGTGTTCTGGATACCGTGTTAGCGAGTCTTCAGAATCTTCCTTCACCCTCTGCACAACCCCTTCCTTCAAGTAACTCTTTGTCTGCTCCAAGTGTCACCCCAGATTCTCCTTGCTCTGGCCACACAGCTCGTCTGCTCAATTTTCTTGCCTGCCTTGTGACACATGCATCAGTGAAATCAGCTGTACTTCATCTGCTAGCCAAGGGCGGCTCAGTGAAGTCTGATGAACGTTACCCTGCACTGGTGACATCTCTCTGTGCTATCCTGCGTTCACCATCAGACTCTTCTTCACATATCCAGGTAGGGATTGTCACACTTATTTCATTTGCAAGCATTGTAGGTTATGTATTCTAATGGGCTCTCTTATTCTGCCTTCTGTTATATGTGTCATCCAGTTATACAGCAGGGGCAAGGGGACAAGTAAGGAGCCGGGGTAGTATATATATAGCAACTGGCTACCGGCTGGAAAACTGAGGGGTCGGAGTCCCAGTAGAATCAAGAATTTTCTCCAGATTGTCCACATCAGCTCTGGGATGCACCCAACCTCCTATCCAATGGGTACCAGGGGCTGTTTCCCTGGGGCTAAAGTGGCTGGAGCATGAAGCTGACCACTCACCTCCAGCTAGAGCCAAGGTCAAGAAAATGTGGATCTATACATCCACTCCCCCATACGCCTTCATACCGTAGTGCTTAATTCATTGAGCACAGGGACAACTTTACCTTACCTTTTTTCCTTGATCATAAAATTGAAGAAAACTCTTAAATTGGCAGAATTTGAAACCAATACTATTGACTTGAGATCATTGAAGTGGTATGATCTCTGTAGTTAGCCGATTGCCTTGCACATGGTCATTAACCATCTTCATTTTTATGCCCTCAAGGGATTCCTAGGGGTATGCGGTAGTGTAGTGGTTAAGGTACTATGCTACAAGCCGGAAGGTCGCGGGTTCAAGTCCCGATGAGGACATTGGATTTTTTCAATTGACCTAATCCTTCCAGCCACACTAGGCCCTGGGGTTTACTCAGCCTCTAATAGGAATGAGTACCAGGATGACAACCTGACCGCCATCTTCAAGCCAATTGTCAAGGTAATGTGGGACCCTTAATGTCTCACGACCCTATGAGCTTCCACGGCCTGTTACAGGGATAGCTTTACTTAGAGGGGATTCCTGATGTTGACATATAACACATGTTCATAACACTGTATCTGAACTAATTGCATGGAGCTGAGTTATTACATTGTTACAATATCACTACCAGTATTTGTCCGAACAGAGTGGCAGGATAAGAGTTCTGTCTTCTGGGATTTGTGAGCCAGCTGACTTTGCAGATGAACATGTGGCCTTCAACTTCAGGGTTGAAACGTAAGCTAAGCAAGAAACCAGCATGAAGCAGACAGCAAGCAAAGCTTGAGGCTGGTTTCTTGCTTGGCTTACTTTTCAACCCTGAAGATGGAGGCCACGTGTTCCTCCAAAACATTGGCTGACTTTCAGTGGACTGCATAATGTTATAACCAGGAAGATGGAAGTCTTCGTAGCTACTACTGTAAGAATTTCAAGTACTCCAGAATGACTAGATAATTGTAGAGGAATATGGGAGGCATGAAAGCCTGAGGGAGATGTGGAAGGGAAAATGGAGTCATGGAACATCTTTCTGTGTCCTTAGTATAAGTACTGTTACTGCCTGGTAACTTTAGCCGCCCGGAAAGGCAAACACTGTTGTGGGGCACGCGAGGCTATAGCCTTGCTGTGGGGCCGTTCAGAGTTACTCCCCGAGCTGAAAACATTGCCTACGGAGACCAGGAGTAGTACTATACACCTGACCACACTCAAAGACACTACATTCCAAACTGGTAGTACCCACACTGACATAGGCTGACAGGAATGCTCCCCCTCGCTCCATGAGAGATGGTATGACCCCTCTATCGCGGCTAAAGATACGAGGCAGTAACAGTAAAAGTGTAGCTGATGGTGTTTGGCTACTGCCACACAGTTACATTTTGGTGGATTTGTTACAGGCACAAGAATGCGTCGTTTCGGTGATTCAGTCGCTTTGTGACACAGAGGTGACACTGCTACCTCCGCCAGGCACGACGCTGGTTGGAGGAAGCGGGGGAGATATTGGTTGTATGCCAACACCAGAAGTGTACCTGGCCAATGCTCTACCTCCACGTGATCTTCTTCTGACAATGTGCACTGTCATGTTGGAACATGTTGCCAATATTGAACACAGCTTCACAACATTGTTACCAACTGTTCGCACTTTCCTCATGCTCATGGAGCATGATTATGGGTTTTACCATCTCAAGAGGTATGAAATCTCCACTGTTTGACTTGACATCTTCTGAAAGGTTGATGCACATTCAGTATTTGTGCTGGTAGTTCATTGTCTCTAATACATCTGTATGGCTGGTTTACTGTATTTTAGGGCATCATCAGATGTGCTGCCTATGTAGTCTAGTGGTCAGAGGTACCGGGTTCGATTCCCGGTGCTACCGGATTTTCTGAGAAATAATGGGTCTTGAACGGTGTCCACTCAGCCTCATGAAGATAATTGAGGTGCTGTTTCGAGGAAATAGCGGCTCTGGTCTAGAAGACCGAAATTAAAGGTCGTGGGGACTTGTTGCACTGACCACATGACACCTTTATCCGATAAAGTTGGCGCTAACTTTGCCGACAAGTAGTGGTCGCTCGGTGGGTATAGTTCGCTTGTGCACTCAAACCACAGAGTTTTTTTATCTGATGTACCATAAAATTGTGTCATTTTTTTTTGTATGATTACTCTTTCCTTGCATTAGTAATTGGGTTAAGCAAATTACTGCATTTAATTCAGATTGTAGGTCTGCTAGAGGGCTGATCTTAGAGAGAGGATGCACAATATATTGTGGGTGGTTATGATGTGAGGTTGTTTGAACATTCAGCCCTCTAACATAATGTAATCATTGCCAAAAATGATTCTGGAGATCAAGTAATATGCTGAATTCAGGAGGCCGAAGTTTACTGGATGTTCATTGAGTAATCTTAACAGAACTTTCCTCATATTCTTAACCACTTATTGTAATTTCTGGAGTTCAGGGAATTGAACTTTCATATCACAGTTTATCAGCATCCTGTCTTTTTCCAACCCCCCGCCCCCAAGAAAGTAACGAACTTCATATATGTGTGTGTGTGTTTGTAAGAGAGAGGGAACTTGCCAATGAAGATGTTCCTGTTGGTGTATACCAGTGTCTTCATGCTCTTCAGCACAAAATTAAATGGACTTAGTAGATATTGATGTGAGCCAAGATAGTTTAGTCACTATAGCGACAGGCTATGGGCTGGATGACTGGGGTTTGATTCCTGGTAGGTGCAAGAGATTTTTTTCTTCAACACAGTGCCGAAACCAGCTCTGGGATTTACCCAGCCTCCTTTTCAGTGGGTATCAGGGACTGTTTCCTTATGGGTAAAGTGGATGAGGCATGAAGCTGACCACTCACATGTATCAAGTGGTGAAGTCAAGAATGGTGGAACTATACCTTCACTACCATGTATTTCTTCATGGCATGTTGGATAATTAATTAATGAAGTACATACTGATGTTGTTTCAGCTGCCTGGAGAAGAAAACGGACGCGTTGCTGAATTTATTCGTCAAATTCTGCTCCGGATTCAGTAAGGATAGTTCAGACTGCCTTTCAACTCTCTCCACGAGCCTTGAACTTCTGCGTGTGTGTATCTCCCTTGAGGAAGATGAGACAGAGTCAGTCCTGGGATTGCCTGCTAGGAATCTTGTGATGTCTGTCCCAGAGCTTGCAGTAGTGCTTGGCTGGGATCGTGCCCATGCAGAGGGCCAGGAAGATGAGTCAGTGGATGCCATTGCGGCTGGCGACACAACCAAGTCTCCAGCGGACACAAATGAATCCATCGAGATTAATGGTGCTACGCACAACAAAAAGAAACATCCTATTTTCTGTTTAGAGAAACTTTTACAGGTTGGCATTTGATTAATATTTATTGGGGCTGTATCAGCCTCAGTCATAGTAGAACGTGTCATGTTTTTCAAACTTTTTCCTATGATATTGTGCAAAAATATACTTTAGTATTCATGGCACAATAGATTGTACATCATTGTGAGGTTCAAATTTAAGTTAATATGTGTGTATATGCATTTATGCTTAAAAAATGGATAAACAGGTTAGGAAATGAATGCATTGTGTAACAGGTATGGCATGTTTTGAAAACCACAGGACTCAACAAAGATTATACTCCACATGGAACATGCTTCACTTTTCTCTGCATTGTTTAACTGAAGCATTTTTTAGTCCAATAAATATTTAGCAAATTACACTCAACATATGCACAAAAATGCATGCATTGCTTTATGTAAAGTGTGCTTTGTCGATCTTTAACCCAAACTGGAATGTTCTGACTAATTTTAGTAAAAGTTCTCATAAAATAATTCTGGTGAAAATCTGGCCAGTGATACCTGAGATGTTGCATGTAGACATGGTGAAATCGACCGGCACATTATTGAAGTTTTCTTTGTTAACCCAATTAAAACAGTCCCACTGAACTACCTGTGATCAGTATAGATGTAATCTTATATAATTTACACCTCAAAACTTGGATTTCTATTAAAATTTGATTTTTTAAAACTTTTCTTGTGATTACAGTGCTTTATTATGTGTGAAAAGTTAAAAATGAATAACAGACATTTCCAATATTATCTAAGCATCTTTGTTAGCCAAACTGAAAGTCTGCCCACTCCTGGGCAAGATCCATTATTTGCTCCCCCTGTTTAATGTTAGAATCCTGTGCTTGCTCACATGAACGTTAAAATATGGGATGCACCATGTTTGTGTGTTACAGGATTGTAGCTCTGAAGAAGAGGCTTTGGAGAGTCTGCATGAGAATGTGGCCAGTCTTATCAAATTGCTCGAGGTTGAAGGAAGCAAACCTCTCGAGAACAGAGGTGAGGTCATGCAAATGGTCACTGTCATTTAGAGCTTAAAAGTCCGACACTTATTCCCAGTTTCATTGGAAGTTAACTATTGAGCTGGGGTAACTCTTTGACTAAAGCGACCAAGTTCGAACTTTTTTAATGATCATGTGACACATTGCTTAAGGTGTTATTTTGGTGCTTGACCATGGTTTCAGTTTGTTAAAATCGCTGCATTTCAGAAGTTGGTTTCATTTCTGTCTTTAAGTTGAACAGAATATGGAAGAAAACCTAATCTGTTGGTTGGAGTAGCTTTGCTTAGAGGCACAGCATGATAGATTGTGTTTCAGATCGTGTTCACCTGACGAGAGAAAGAGAACAAATTTCCAGAACATGGTTTTATTGAAAGGAGCCAGCATAGTGCAGTTGGTATAGCAACTGACTGCAGGTTGGATGAGCAGAGGGTCAGAGTTCAATCCCCTGTACTAGCAAGAGGTTTCTCTTCTACAAGTTGTCCAGACCTGTTCTTGGGCCCACCCAGCCTCATGTCCAATGGGCAGAGGGTGGGGGGCTCTTTTCTCAGAAGCAGCTGGGGCTTGTAGCTGACCACTGACCCTCTTAACTAGAGCTGAGGTTAAGAATACGTGAATCTCTACATCCATTCCCCCATATACCTTCTTGATGTAGTACTCAGCACAGAGACAATTTTACCTTTTTGCCTAATGGTTTGAATGAACTGAGACAATGGATAAAATGCAAAATAATAATCTTAAAGAACCGGGATTCAGTTCCCAGCAGTGCAGGATTCTTCTCCTTACCACCATGTCTGGACTGGCAGTAGCATGTGTCAAGACCTCTGCCCTCCCTTTGCTATAAAGCAGCTGGATCATGAAGTTTATGACTAACTTCCAGCTAGAGTGGGGGTGTACAGTGTCACTTTATCTTCATTCTCTTTGTACCTTTATGGTGTGTGTTGATGCATGCAGAGTGACGCATGATATCTTGAACCACTTAGTAATGGTTGTGTCTTATCTTTAGTGCTTGTAGCTGTCATTGGCAGTGTTCATTTAATGCGTGAAAGGTGACAAAGTGATACATTGATGCCGGGAACTGTAATATTACAGTATACATAAACAGAACCCATACCTTGCAATCATGACATTCCACAGTGTGGTAAACTTTTGTTTATCCAGCACAAATGGGGAGTGGGATGTGCCAGTTACATAAATCTGCCAGGTGCACAATAAAACTCTAAAAAAAAATCCAAAATATGAGTCAGAACAACATGTTTTCACTTAGCTCTTGTATGGAAGTGTTCCCAGGCAACATAAATTGATGGGTGAAGATTCTGGATATAATGTAATATGATGATTTTAACTGGCCTCTACCTAAATGGCATCTGCATATAGAAGGATGATAGACAGTGCTACTAGTGGCAGTTACAGAGAACTACCATGTGGCAAGTGAACATTTACGTAACTATATAAAAATGGAAAATTTTCTCTGAAACGTTTGTTAGTTGCATGAGAATACCAGATGTTTGAATGCAAGGTAACTAGGAGTTTGTCGTACATAAACACGTCCTCCTGCCTTGAACCATATTAATGTGACATGACGTCTGAAGTCATAATAGACTCAGTTAACACATTCCTGTGGCAATGAATATACAAGCAACAGTTGAGTAACTTCCATTACTATGCAACATTGCTGTAAACACACCTTCCCAACAATAGAGAGGCTGTGTTTCTCTTGTCTGTACAAAGTGGTTATAGGAAGAGTTCCAAAGCTGACAGTAGTCAAGTTCAGTTTTGAGACACCAGCCTGCCAGGATATGAGCTTGGGCACAGAGAAATTGAATTGAGTCGAGTCTTCAGAATTGGCAGTTGTGGTAGAAAGGAAAAGGGGCATTAAGCAGGTGCATTTTCTGTCAGAAAAATATTTTATACCCTCAGTGTAAGTAACTAAATATGTGGATAAGGTGTTGGGTTTGTGAAGGAGAACTGTGTATAAGAATTTTGTGTGATTAGGAAAATGGTTATCGTAAAATTGAAGATATGAAAAATGGAATAATGTAATAATGGCAATACTGTGTGTGCTTGTGAAACAGAGTTGCCAGAACCGATTTTACCTCCGCCTGAGCCATTGCTCTCGCAGTTCGCGGCTCGTCCTGTATTCGTAGTTGGTGAGGTTGACGATGAACGTCTCAGCTCTACATACTGGCTTGCACCTCCGCCTGTAGATGAGGCAGATCAAGATATGGATCAGGTGAGACTCATCACATATGTGAGCCTCAAAGATACATTGATACAAAAAATCATTATAATGGCAGAATTTCTGGTTTTGTAAAATATGTTGTTCCTCTGTTGCATACAGGTAGGATCTGTGGTGACCTTCCTGTCTCCTACTCACCTAGGAAGTACAGAATTTATATCTCACTTGGAGACACTCATAGGGCAGCTTCTGTGATTGTGAGAGTGATTGCTTATATTTCAGGTGAGCTGTGACCTAATGGAAATGGCACGTCTCTACCTGCCAGACTTCCATCTCCCACTGGAGGCAGAACGGTTGTGTCGTCTCAAGACGACAGCTGGAACTGATGGGGATGAAGATGAAGGTGACCAGATGAAGAAGAGAGGGGATGACCTCAACAAATACCTCACAGCAGACAGCAAACATAAGAGGCCATTTGGTAAGCCAGTGTGAGGAAATTTGAGGCATGAAATCATTGCAGGCTTAACCTTCTCCAGAGTAATTGGAAAGGTACAGGATGGTGAAATGTAGGAGGCTGTGGTCAGTGACGTAAGTAGCTGCCATGGAGGAGATAAATACATACTGTTCTGTGGTCAGGAAACCTCTTGGGAAATGGTTGCGTGGAAAATAATGTTGATGACAAGAAGATAACAGTAACATTAAGATCACTTGTAAGAGGGGAGTGAAACAGGTTGACAGTCGTGTCAGCAGGTTTGTAAACAAGAACAGCGTCGAAGGATTTTATCTGAATAAGTAACATGTTTTCTCATTGCCTCTCAAAAATGTGGTCACTTTAAAATACAGTGTTAACAGTAGTCAGGTGGACACAAATTCCATGCACCAGGTCAACATGGCACATGGAATTTACTTCCATTATATTGCTGCTAGCACATGACTCATCAGAGATACCAGACAAAATAATTCCTTTCTTCATTTAGTTTATCCCATTCATGTCGTTATCTTCTTTATTTTCTCCTTTACTGTTCTCCCATTTCTTTTTCCTCATCCTATCACCGTCCTCTCCTTCATTTTAAAACAGTTCCCTTATTCTTCCATTCTCTGTCACTTTATATATCTTTATCGTCTTCTCTCATTCCTTTCTTGCATAGTTTTTTTTCATTTTTTCAATACATCCTCATCGTTTCTCTTCCTGTATCATGCGAGTAGTAATGTTGTGTTGGGTTTCCCCGGAGTGACAGGAACTGGCCAATGTTTATAGATGTTTCATTTGCCTTTGTAATTATACCTGGCAAATTTTTCACTGGAAGTTTTTTTTATTTTTTATTAGTTTTCTTTTGCTTCCTTGCTTTTAGATTTATAGGAAATTTGTGCAGACCTCAACATGATTACAACTAATATAGGTAGGAAAGTTCAGAAATTTTATTTTGTCTAATTTATCTCTTTAAAGTGGCACCAATGCGAGGAAGAGGTTTTGGTAGGTCAGTACCACAACGAGGTGACCTGTTTAGGTCACGACCACCCAACACTTCTCGCCCTCCATCGCTCCATGTGGATGATTTTGTGGCATTGGAGATTTCTGGCCAGCAGCCCACTGGACCAACTGGATACAACAAGATTTCAATGCGAGCTGCCAAGGATATGATGGCAACTAGAGCTAGAGGTAGAGGGCGGGCCTTTGGTACTGATAGGGGGCGCTTCTTTGGTTCTGCCACACCCTACAACCGTCGTGAAAATGGGAGAGGTCAGTATTATGTGGTTAAGTGAATCACATACAGTATTACAAGGATACATATTATGTAGATAACATTGTTCATTCTAATGCTTCGTTACAGCTGTTAGTTGCAACTGAACACACAGGCTTACCATTACCCTTTTCTTCTTCTTATTTTGATATCGGTGGTGATAGTGGTCTCATAAAAATGATGCTAGTATAGTTTTCAAAAGGCCATGGGTTTCATCCCAGCTGTTCCCACTGATAAAAATTTGAGAAGAAGGGAAAATAAATTTTGTTAAATCTAGTGACAGCCAGTGACATGTAGATTATAGTGGAGCCAACTCCCACAGCATTGTAAATATAAAATATTTCTCAGCCATTGGACAAAGGCAACATAATATTTGTATAATGAATCGTCAGTTGTTAAGAATGTCTGGAGAACCATAAAGGCATACCAGACTGTCAAGGTTTTGGCTGCATGACCAAAGTAGTAATTTATGTCAGGCTCAGTGACCATCAAATAGGTGTTCTATTCCCAGCAGAAGCAGAGATTTTTTCTTTCTCTGATGAATGGAGGCTGACAGTTTCATCCTTCGGTAACTATTAATACTAATCTTTTAATTAATTCAGGCATTCATTTTAAAAACATTAAAACCTCTGAATGCAAGCAAAACACATTTAAACATCATGTAGTTAATATACCTGATGGCAGTGTGAGTCCGAGGCATGTTGTGAACAAGTGAATGTACCATGACAGTGGAAGAACAAATACATGGCCAGCAGTCATAAACAAAAGTTGCAGTAAAGGATGGAATTAACTAGTTATTGAAACAGGTGCAGAAATCTAATAATATAGTACATTAAAATTATAAAATTTGGTGGATTGCATGTAGATGTTTGTCCTGATTTCCTGATGCATACTTGCATGAGTGGGTGTTGTGTAAGGTGATGGCTGTGGGCCACTCTTTCACTTAACACTGTTGGTATTTTATTTCAGGAATTCCCAGGGGTGTGAGTTCAATGCTGCCACGTGTTGGCAATGGCAGGGGTGGAGTATCTTCACCTGCCTGGCCTCCACATAGTGGTGAAGTGCCAAGTCCCAGTAGTCAGCCGCCTCCACCACGTTCATTTCGGACTCCAGAACCACGAGACATGCGGATGCTCCCTCGTTCTGAGGAAAAATTTAGCATTGCTGGTGGTAGCAGTAGTGGTGGAGGTGGAAGTGGTCGTTTTGGTGGTCGAGGCATCAGAGGAGGTGGTCCAGGGAATTGGGCTATTAAGGACAACCGGGAGAGATTTGGTGGCCCTAATATTCGAGGCGGAGGACGGAGAGAACCGCCTCCTGGACGTCATGTACGTTCATTCACAAGATAAATCTTGGATTTGTTATATGTTATAACAACTACACTATTCTTTCCCTTTGTATTGAAGGACTGAAAGTTTTTAGTCTACAAATAACTATATGATGCTTCGTAAAGGTGAGCTTTTCACATGGTGTTTTTTGTTATAAACCCCTTTATAAGTTTTTACACTCACTGTTAAGGCATCAGGAACATGCAACTCTACTTATTAACACTACCAGTTCTTCAGCGTCATGTTCTAACTCCATTTTTAGTGTTCAGTTTTCTCCAAATACAGCAATCCACAGACTGGAGGCTACATTTTATGTATATTAGCTCAAATATATTTTTTAATGTGAAATAGACATGAAACATATATTAATCTGTAAACGAAAAATAATAGAATGTATTACCTTGCATAAGAATCATCCAGCAAATGGTTTGATTAAGACTAAAAGCTAATTGTACGTGTGTGCACTGTGTGTTACATTAACCATTCTTAACTTAAGTAATTGTACACTTTTTTGATCAGATTTGGTACAGTGTGAAGTTGCTGTCACATTTGTTAATTGTGTACAAGGTTGTGCTCGAAGAATATCATGCTTTAAGCAGAATTGTTTACAGAAAGAAATGGATTTTGAGTAGGAAGATAGTGATGCAAGCAATACTATATTTCCTTCTGACCTCTTAAAGCATTGTCATATTTGCTGCAAACTTCAAGAAAAGTGATGTATTTTATGGTGACTTCATAAAAAATCAAATCAGTTTCTGTACAAAATGAAGATTTAGGTTTTAAATAATAAAACCATCACTGAAGGAGGTTATTGGTTATCTGTTTCTGGTGATTAAATTATTTTACATTGAATAGCATTAAGAAATTCTGTCATTGTCTCTTTAAAGTTAACATCCTTCCACTGCTCATACTGTTCACCTTATAATGGTGTTATATTTTTATGGTTATTTCTTTCAAAGATTATTTTCAAAACTGAGTATTGTAAACTTAGGGGGTATACTTTTCTTATGCTGATGGCCTCAGTTTTCAGACCATATCAGTCCAATGCAAGTGTTTCCACTTTCCTAACACTATGTGAATAAGGAGAGACTAATCTGTCGCAGTGGTTTGGAGCCCACATTAAGCTTTAGGTCCTGTGTGTTGGGCGTTACTGTTATCCTCCTAGTGGTGTGTAAATCAGAGGCACATCTACCTGAAAAATGGACACCCAGGGGCTGAATTAACATCAAAATGTATTCATTTTGTTACAGCTACCATTTTTCAAATGGTAGAAATGCAGGGTATTATTTTTTTCTGCAAACTTTATAGCAAAAATGGCATGTGAATCATGCGGATAAATGCCACAACTGAGCCCGGTGTATTTTTATTATTATTATTATTATTATTATTAGAGGGGGTGGGTGTCCCCATGCACTGTGACTAATAGTCTATTGTACGTCCCCCTTTGATATTCCACCAGTCACCATACCCTACCAGTACTGGTGCGTGCTATCAGCCCCGTTCAGCCAACAAGGTCGGCCCTCGGTATCTGATACTTCCCCCATCTACCAGAGGCATTGGAAACTACTTGGGCAGGAAACTTTTGCCTAATTTAGCTCAGGTCTCCTAAAGACATGAGGATCTTTTACATGCCATAAATGTAAGACACGGGACCCACGGCTTAAAGTCCCTCCTGGAGGAATTGTTCCCTGAATTTTTCCGCCTTTAAAAATTCCACGACCTCTGCCGGGTTTGAACCCACGTACCTTGAGAGCCTGGTGTAAGTCTTGTACAAGTTTTTCTGCAGGACCTGAGCTCTAAGACATGCAAAAATGACAGATAAAGTTATATAAACAGGCCAGTGTTATTGCAGTGGAACTCAGCCCATAAGTACACTCAAGTCACAGAGTCGCAGCACTAGAGATAGTGAACTCTGTTCCATGGCAAAAGCTTTTGCACATTTCAAGGCCATAGCTCATGTCCCACTGAACCTACTATACATTTTATATTATTCCTGTAATATTAAGAGTTTCTTGAAAGTGTAAAGAAAAAGAACATTGGTATAATGACTCCAGGTTCTACAGTATGCTGGATTTGATTCATAGATATCTTTTCCCATTTCCTTAATCCCTACTGTTTCTTTATGTTTTAAGATGTGATAGTTAATCAGTACAGGGCTAGCCTATGGCCCAGTATGGACAGGAGATTTCTTTTCTCTACAGACTGACAAGGGTCCACTGCCTCCCACTGAGTGGATACTGGAGGTAAAACAGCTGGAATGTGAAGTTGACTTCTCCATCTAGTGTCAAAGTTAAGAATGTGTGGAACTGTACCTCCAGTAACCCAAATGTGTTTGTTGATGCTTAATTAAGAACAGAGACAACTTTATTATAAAAGATAAAACAACTCCGTCAAGTGTGACTGTTTGAGTTTTTATTACTTCAATTCTTAATGCCCTCGCATGTTTCGGTCCTTACAGACCATCATCAGAGGGACATCGATACTGTTTGGAAACCACTATTACAATGGGTGTTCTGAATGTTAAAATATATACACATAATATGTTTGTAATGCACAATAGATACAAAATCCAAAGTTTTGACAACTACAGCGGCTGTCTTTCTTGGTACAAGTTTGGCGGCACAAGTTCAGCCCGTCAAGAAAGGTGATAAGAGAAAGGACACGAACCTATTTGGTTTATAAATTCTAACTTAAATAACAAAAGTTTTAAAAATTTTAATATACCAAGACAGCCGCTGTAGTTGTGAAAACTTTGGATTTTATATCTATTGTGCATTACAAACGTTGTATGTGTATATATTTTAACATTCAGAACACCCATTGTAATAGTGGTTTCCAAACAGTATCGATGTCCTTCTGATGTTGGTATACAAGGACCGAAACATGTAAGGGCATTAAGAATTGAAGTAATAAAAACTTCAACAGTCATACTCGACGGAGTTGTTTTATCTTTTATAATATTGTTAGTGTGACCGACCAGAATGAAACAAATCAGAGACAATTTTATTTTTTCCTGTTTTATCACATTGAAGGTTGGAAGGCAGTCTTGTTGCTTCTGTGCCTCTTGGCCAGAAAGAGAAAGTACATCTGTGATTTCAGCCTAGCTGGAGTGAAATAAATGCCTGTTAGTTTAACTCTTGGTGTATATGTTGGTATCTGATGGCACCCACAGAAATTTGATGCTGTGTGTTATGAATAAAACTGATATTAGTAAGTTGGAGTTTCTCCAAGGAGCAGTCTCACTTGAGACACCGATTGTTGCTAAGCTAATAAAGAAATTCCAGCATTTGATGGAACCGGAAGGTTTTTTATCACGTTCATAAGACTTTACCAGTTGTCCTTATTCTGTATTAGATGAATCCAGCTCACATCTTCCCAACCTATTTATTTAAGATCCAGTTTAATATTATTCCATATACAAGTGGTCTCTTCAGCTTTTCACACAAAAACTTTGTTTACACTTCACCTATTTCCCATTCATGCTACATGTCCTCACTCTCTTTGATTTGATCATCCAAATGTTATGCAAGGAATAGAAACTATGAAGCTCCACATTTTGCAGATTTTATCCATCCTGTTGTTACTTCATCCCTGCTAGGTCCTAATATTGTCCCTGGTACCCTGTTCTTAAACACATGGGAGGCACCAAAATTTCACAACCCTACAAAACTACAAATAAACTATACCTTTGTGTTTTTTACAGCAGAAAGAAAAACAAAAATATTTTAAACTGAATGACTGCACGCATTCCCCAGATTTAATCTGCTTTTAATGGCCAACAAATTCAAAATATTAACACGAACCTAGAACAGCTTGTTACAGAATCTAATTGTATAGCGCATCAATCGTTCCTCGTTAACTACCACCCTCTGGCGTTCAAAATGTAAAACTGGTGAAGGCGCCATATTTGAATCGATACCAAATTGCCGGAACGATATACAGAGTGTTTCACGACTTTAGGGCATAACTGAAGGAGGTGATTTCCTGGGTCTTTGTGATCAAAAAAGTTCATATAAACATGTGTCCGATTTTGGACGGTTAGGGAGTTATGACCGTTTTTTCATTCCCGTACACGCCCTCGTGCGAACCGCGTCTATCAGCTGGCGGGTCGCTATCTTTAGCCAGTTACAGACAGAGCGTTCTCGTTATCTCGACCCTTGAGAGCTACCTAAGGCGGGGTGGGTTGGTATGTCCGGCGCGGTTCACAACCGAGCGGCAGCCTGTGTTGAGGCCGGCGGTGGCATTTTCGAAAATCAGCTTTAAGCACCAATAAATTCAAATTAAAGGTAATATCACGAAGTTAACTTTACATTCATACTTTAAGTGTATTATGTATTATGCTGGTTTATTATTTTGTTCCGTTTATTGTCAGTAATCGTTACCTTCTATTCTGAGTTTAAAACGGTCATAACTCCGTAACCGTCCAAAATCGGACACATGTTTATATGAACTTTTTCGATCACAAGGAAGTCGCCTCCTGCAGTTATGCCCTAAAGTCGTGAAACACTCTGTATAGTGATCCGTTGTGCACAGATGAATACCGTCTCACTAATAACCATGCAGAATTAAGTAAACACAACTTCTTAGTGTTTTGTATCATTTATTATACCTGCCTTCGCAGCATATGACATTTTTATGCATGTTTTTTTTTTTTCCTGGGGGAAGTTGGTGTTAAAAGACTTCTGTCTTCCAGGGTATGACACTGTGTACCTTTGGGTTGAACAATATGTTGGGAAATTCTTGAAAAGCTGAGTGATCATTAGCTTTCCAAGATGCACTCAACTAATGGAGTTAGTTCATTCGTTGTTTGTGGTATGCATTGAAATGCGTTAGGGATTTTGATTTTGATTGGCTTTGGCTCAGGATAATTATATCGTATTTTACACCAGTAATCCACGACTTCCAAGGTTACGTTTATTTCAATAAAACAATCGGGAGCGGTGATTATGGGGGTGTGTTAAAAAAATGACATCATATCAAAAGAATCTGATAATCACTGCTTCAAATGGAGCCCAAAATGAACTGTACCATTTTTTTAAAATAATTATACAAAAATTAGTATAAAATGTAAGGTAAAGCTATCCCTGTAACAAGCCCTGAAGGCCCATAGGGTTGTGAGACGTCGAGGCTATCACATTTTCTCTAGACAATCGGCTCACAGATGGTGATGAGGTCAGCCTTACGCACCGGCCTTTCTTTACCATCCAGAAAGATTCCTGGTACTCATTTCTGTTAAAGGCTAAGTTGACCCGAGGGCGGCCGGAAGGATTAGGTAAACTGAAAAAAATCTACCACAATGGAACTCGAACCCGCGACCTTCCGGCTTGTAGACTAGTGCCTCAACCAACTACGCTACTGCACGACCACATTTTCTTTAAAAGTAATTGTACTAAAATTAATATTCGCCGCAAAATATAAATCTTTTTGATTTGCTGCTTTTGTTTGAACCATTTATCGATACGGCCAGTAGTAAAACGCAAATAACCGAAAATATTATGAGTGTAGCTGTCTCTGTCATAGTTTGAAATTTGCTTTCAAGAGTAACATTCGAAAAAATAGGACATTTCATAACCTATGAAACTGGTGTCAGGTGTTGCACCTCACGGAAGTCACGTGATCCCACTTCCTTCTTTGATGCCAGGTTGGCTCACTCACTATCTGGCTTTTCCATGAGAGAACTCTGTGCAAGTTTTTATCATCACATGATTAAGGAACAGTACCAGGAAGAGCCATTACAGGAAAAAAACAAGACACGAGGAAAATGCATTGCACTAACAGATTCACACCGGTGATCCAAGTTTGTTTACTCCTTTACACCTTCTGT